AAATTTATTAATATTATTATTATTATCCCTTATAAATAACGTATTATCTAATTTAATATATAAATTATTAATATTTATATTTCTAGCGCTATTAAATATAAGGTTAATTAATTAAATATATTTATGTCTTTTTACGTTATTATTAAAGTTATTTATGATTTACGCGTACGGGTTCCGGAGCGTAATAAGCCCGTTAAGTAAAGTGGTATTCCACTTATTAACTTAAGTGACTTTAGGGTGTACGTACCTCTTTATCTTAATAAAATTAGGAATATTATTAAGGAAAAAACTATATTTATTAATCTTATTTTATTAAATAAAGAAAATTAGGATTTGTGTAAGTATTATCTTAATTAATATATTATTTATAAATATTATAAAGATTATATTAAAATATATTATTAGAAATTCGTTTCGTACGCAGTTATGCGTAAATTATAACCCTTTAAAGGTAAATTGGAGTTATATAAAGGATTAGATAAAAGTTGTCTTAAAGTAAAGATTTATTAGAAATTAAATTTAATTCCCTTTTTTTCTTATTTCTTTAAATTATTATGGCGTACAAGTATATTAAAGGATTATAATGTCCATTTATTTAAAGAGATTTCTAAAAAAAGAACCTTTTATAAACTTTATAAAAAGGAACTTTATATTAAATAAACTTTTATATTGTAATTATAAATGATAGAAATAATTTATTATTAATTATAAATATATATATTAATAATAATAATATAGGATTTTTGCTTTTTAATATAAGTATTTTTATAAATGCTTAAAAAGTTAATAATAAAATTTAGTGTATTAAAGTTATATAATATACGTGTTTTAATTTAATAAAGTATTATTTTTTAAATATATTTTATATTTAAAGTTACGGGGAATAAAAAGAATTAATTTGCTTTTATAAAAAGTATTACCTTAATAAGTGTTAAGTTTAGTAAAATATTAAATCTTAATTCTAATATTAATATATTAATTAATAACTTTAATGAAATGCTTTTTAATTTTAATGATTATTATATTATATTTTTTCGGTTTATATTAAAGAAACTCGTTTAAAATATTTGCTTTAATAAAGTTTATTATTTTAATATTAAAAATACGTTATACTTTTATAATTTTAAAATACTTTTACTAATTATAAAATAATTAAAAATACGGACCAATAATGCGGATAAGTTATATTATATTAAGAAAAAAACTTTAATTAATTATAATTTTAATATTATAATTTTTATCCACATCCTTTATTTTAATATAAAACATTTTATTTACAATAAGCTAATTAATATTATATTAAAAATAGAGTTAATAAAATTAAAAGATAAAAAATATTATTATAAATTCGAATAATAAATTTATATTAAAAAAAGGAAATATAAAACGCGTTTTTTTATTATTTTAATATAGCTCTTTTATATAAAGTTATAAAGTTAATTATAAATTTAATTATAAAAAATTCTAAGGCTATTTTATTAACGTTAAAAATTTAAGATATATTTATTATAACATATTAAATAAAGAATAAGCTTTTATTTTATCTTAATAATATTTTTAAAAAACGTATTTTTATTAATGTTTTATTTATAAATATTATTATAAAAACTATTAAAAATATTATATAAAAATAATTTTAATTTTTATTAATTATATATTTTATTAAAAAATATATTATAATATATAAATTAATAAATAAAGTTAAAATTAATAAATAATATTAAAATTAAAAGTAAAATTAAAATTAAGATTAGGATTAAAGTTAATAGTTCGCATATTTTATAATTTAATAAAACCTTTAAACGAACCCTTTGGAATATATCCATTTATTTTAAAATTATATAATATTAATTTAATATATTAAGTTTATAAATATTTATAATTGTTTAAAGAAATTTTATTATTAAAAACTTATATTTTTTTAACGATTTTTAATATGTTTTTTAAATTCTAATCGCTTAAAATATATACCAATTATTTCTTAAATAATAAAGTGCGCATTTTTATAAAAATATAATTCCTTTTTAATTATTTTTTATTTACCCTTACGTAATCTTATAAATTTTAGTTAATTAAATATATATATAAAAAGCCTCAATTCAAAAAGTCCCGTTTTTATATATATTTATTAATAATATTAAACCTTATTTAACATTTAATAATTTACTTATAATGCTAAAGTATATTAATATTGCTTAAAGGAATGTTATTTAAAACAATATATTTTTTAAATTTATCTATTAAAGTAACGTTTTAATATTTATTTATATAATAATGTAAGCTTAATAATTTTAATATGTCCTTAAATAAGTATAATATTTTTAATTAAGTTAAATTTAAATTAATATTATATAATTAATAGTAAATATTAATATACGAACTTTATTTTTAATTTAAATATATAATTTTTTTATTTTTTAATTTCGTTTAACAAAATTTATATACCTTTTAAATTAAAAGTTTAATAATTTAATAAAATTGATTTAAACTTATTGTTAATATAATTTTTAATGCTTTTAAAATATAATATAAAATTGCGTGGGGCCTTAATTGCAAATTTAAAAAAGAATTTATTTTTTAAATTAAAGGTAATTACTTTTTCCCATTAATTTATTTTAATATTTATACGCGCTTTTTAAAGTATTAACATTATTTTATTAATGTGTATAAATTTATCTTTAATTTTATAAAGGTATTTCTATACAGTTAATTAATTTTTAATATTTCCTGTTAAACCTTAGTTTTTAAATTAAATAATTGTTTATTAAAAAAGAGAATCTAATAAATCTTTCAGATCTGTTAATTCTCTTTTAGACTAAAATAAAGTTTCTTTATCTATACTTTTATCTTTCTTATTTTCTTGACATTTCCAATATTAAAATAAAAACCCTTAATATCGAATATATAAAAGTTATAAAAGTTTCTTTTTTTAATTCACTTACCTAATATATAATAATAGGGTATACTATCTTAATATTTTTACATATTATATAAAAATATTTAAACTTATAAAAATTCTTGATTTTTTTAATAAAGAATTTGGGATTTAATATGCATTTAAGGTATATAAGGAAAATATATTTAATATTTAACTTGAAATTACTTATAATATTAAGGTCATATAATTAAAAGTTATTTTCTAACTTTATAACAAAGGTTTTTAACATTATTATTAATATCTTAATTTAGCTTAATAATAAAATTATAAATGGATTTTTAATAAGTATATAAGTGTAAAATATTATTATTTTTTAATTATTAAAAGGGCTTAATCTTAGATTTTAATAAAGAAAATCTAATGGAATTAACGAATTATATAATAATAATTACTTAAAATAACTTTACCTTAAAAAATGTTAATTTAGTTTTAATTATTATTTTAGATTTTTTTTGTTGTTAATAAAATCATTTATAAATAAATGTAAGGAACTTAGTAAAAAGTTACTTTTATTACTTTTTACGCTATATATTATGTGGAAAAGTTATGTAACTATATATAAGCAAAGCATTTTTTAATATTTTGGTAAATATATTAATTTAAAATTCTGCTTTATGTAAAAAGTGAAAAAAAGATGCAAATATTTTTTATATTAGTACTTATGGTTTTTTAATATTAGCAGATGTTGTGAGCTAATTTTACCGACTTGTAAAAGGAGGACGCTAAAACATTTTTAATATTACATATATTATTACAATAAAATCTTTTAAATTATTATAATAATAATTTTTCTAACTTTATTAATTTATATTATTAAATTTTTATTAATATTAATTAATATTAATAAATATATATGTAAAGTTAAAAACAATTAATAAGTAAAATAAATAACAAATAAATTAAATAATAATAAAGTAAAATTATTATATTAATAATATTTAAAGAAAAAAATTAAATTAAAAAAAAAATAAGGGAAAACTCATTTTTATATAATTTAAAATATATAAATATTTCTTTTTATTAAGTACGTACCATAATAAAGTACGTACATATGTTATATAACCATTATTAATAAAGTTTATAATTTAATTAACGTTAATACATTCGTTATTATATTTTTATAATAAAATAGTAATTATTCTTTTAATATAAAAAACTTAAGTAAAAAATACTTACGCATTTAATTTAATAATATATTTAATAATAATATCTTTTTTTTAAAAAAATTAATTTTTTATATAATAATATTATAAATTTATATTATTAATAACCATTAATATAATTATATAATATATTAAAAAAACATTATATAATTTTGTAACGTGTTTAATATTAAAAATTAATTTTATTAAAAAATGCGAAACATAAAATTTAATTTAATTGTTTTTATTATAATATATTATTTTAAATATATATGTAAACCATTAACCCGTATAAATTATTAACCTATAATTTATATATTATATTAATAATTTTATTAAACATTAAATAAAAAAAAGAAATTAAGTTATTAAAAATTTTCTTTTTTCTTTTTAAATAACTTTATTATTTATATAAATAAATAATTAATAAAATTATATTTTAAATTTTATTTAATAAATTTTTATTATATTAAAGAATATTAATTTATTTTTTATTATAATATAAATATATTAATTTTTAAATTTTATTATTTTATTTTTTAAATATTTTATAAATATAATTTTATATATTTTAAATATTATTCATATAATTATATATAAATTTTAATTTAATTAAATAATTTAATAATTAATACAAAATTTTAAATTTTTTTAAATTCAGCCATTATTAATCACATTATTACAATTTTCAAAAGTGGCTCCAAATGGAATATGTACATATTTTTAAAAAACTCTTAAAATAGAGATAATTTTAACGTTAAAAGATGCATCCAATGAAACATTTCTTTTTCTGTAATGTACCTAATAAAAATGCTTAGAACGTTATGCACAGCCGAGTTATTTGATTCGGATGAGCTGGGTTAATATAATATTCCGAACAAGTTCGGGTATAACCTTTTGTAAACTTAAAGTATTATACCAGCAAAACCTGCGGTACAAATCGTTATATTATGTTTCTAATTCTTTTTGGTATTTACATCCAGAGTTTTTATATCTCCTAATAACCTTCCTCACCTTTCGATCTTTGTCTATCAAGCTTCACTGCTGATATACTTCGTCGATCGAATAGTGCTGGCCGGTCTCGCGAACACGCGTATCGAGTGTTTCGACGTAAAGCTGCTTCATATCAACCCCCCTTCGGATATGGCGCCATTCCTACAACACGCTGGCGGAAGTCTTAAGAACCCAGCCGCCACAGCGGATTGCCTCTACTGCCAAGTCGACCAGACCAACCATCTACTCCAACAACTAGGGATGGAGACAGAACACGCTTAGCGTGATGTAAGTTATGTGGCTGTTTGAAGAGAATAGCATTCGAAATAAGGTAGCTTTTGAAGTAAAGTAACTTTAATAAAGAAAATCTCTGAAACCCATAACCTTTAAAATATATCTAATAAAACATTTATTCTTTAAGGATACACCTTATAAAATTGTATGATGGGGTAGGTTCTTAATTTCATATCTGTATTGTATTCGCATTCCTTGTTATATTGGCGATTCTTAAACTTATTGCCCTATTTGTTTCTCGTTCGATAGAATTGTGACCTCTATTCCGGACTTGGTTCCTGACTGCTATTGCTAGGTCGATCAGATTGAGCTGTCTTCTTTGATCCACGGCTCGGCAATAATATATTAGATTTATCAACTCAGCATCAATACCCTGAGCTATCAATGAAGTACGAGCCGCGTGCAAGCTACCGGCAAAGGTCTCAAAACTTTGACCGCGAACGGTTACTCTGGTTCTTTGGCCGATCTGTCCTTCTTGTTGTAGCACAAGGTATTGCACAACCTGTTTCAATTCTTAGCCATTCATACCCATAAGAAACACCTTCCATAATGAGAGAGTACTGCCCTACCTCACCAATATCAGTTATGTTTCTCTGAGGTCCATTACGCCCAAAGCTGTCAAGCGAACGGGGACTGCATAGATGAAATATGATTAACTAATCGTATACCTGGAATGTGATTCTTTCAAGTATTACTCACTTCCTAGGATCCATCGTATCCGCTGTTCCAAAATCCAGTAGCTTTAGGATTGGGCTTGTATCATGCTCGGGGTGTTGAAGTTCAGGCATGAGGCCCCCAACAGCAATGTTATTCCTCGATAGGTCTTTATGAGCCAAGAAACCAGGATACGATCCCCGAAGACTCTCTAGCGTATCTGTTTCCAAATCCACCCGACCTTCTCGCTGAGCGTCCCAATACGCCATCTCCAGGCAAAATCTGATAACTAAGCAAAACTCCTAGTTAGTTGTGACCCCGGTCTTGCACGACGAGTTAGACTTACGACACATGAAGAATCTCCATAATAGGCGACAGGGAAACAGTTCGCCCTCATATTGCTCGAGGTGTCTTTCAACTAAGCGCGTCAATAGGCCATTCTCGATATATTCTGTGAATATCCAACTCTGCATTCTGTGTGGAGAGATACCGGCTGGCGTATTTGCAAGTGGATCGTCATCTACGTCTAAGGATTGAATAATATGATGGCAATTGCGTAGCCTCTAATAATTTGGAATTCGTGAACACCTAAACCCAACGCACCCGATGGCGATAACTCACCTCTAGCCATAGCTTCTCGTTGAGAAGTTGCTGTACTTCTTCTCCCTCGTCTTCGTCCTCCTCGTCGTATGACTTATTCCCTCCGAGGTCAACATCTATATGACAGATTTTAACTGCCATCGTGGTCAAACGACCATGCTCGTTATATATTACCTTATAAACAGAGCCGTTAGCTCCAGAACCAACGATACCGTCCCACCGGAATGTATTATCACGATCGAAGAAAGCCTTTATCCGTTGTGACACTGCTTCTGCTCCCCCTTCGCTAAACCATGACATCTGGTTCTCGCTCAAATCTGACATGATTGATTTCCGGACAGAGGAAAATGTGACATGACCTGGGCCTTCACGTGGTGGTTATATTAACGAAGGGATGTTCTGCACCTTTGTATCTGAAAACTAACAAAGGGCTACTTGGGTTTCCTTGAAAGGGCGACGGAGAGGGGGGACATACAAAGGGTCAGGGACAATGCTTTCATTATCTAGCAGTCCAAGAACAGAAATAACCCAGCAAGTATCTAGACTAGGGATTGATCATAATGTTTTCTACTCACGTAGTTCTGACTATTCAGCATTAACATTAAGTAATATATAAATAAGGTACGTATAAACTATTTATTATTTATTATGTATATTCATGTTGCTTTGATAACTTGACCTGACTACCTGAATAGTAGTTCGATCTTATAAATGGATGGGGATTACTATGTACTATGTACCTCCTATCTTAAATGATGACATAATGAGCTATTGACTATTTTTTTTCTAACAAATCAAGTCGCTATTAAACCAACCGTACACAACTTTAAATTGGCAATTCCGGTAGTTATCCTACCTAACCTCTCTCAATTCAAATTACGTATAGCGTATAGCGTATAGCGTATAGCGTATAGCGTATAGCGTATAGCGTATAGCGTATAGCGTATAGCGTATAGCGTATAGCGTATAGCGTATAGCGATACCAGGCAAGTTCGCCAACGAGTTATAAAGAAACAGGAAAAAGAAAAAGAACAAGAAAAACGAAGAGAAATAAAGAAAACTATTCCATGGGAAAAGCCTGTCTGCCTAAGGACTGTACTATTCGAACTCACCGTCTCACCCGCTTTCTAGCACATAAATCCCATTCACCATTCAATATGTCGCACAAGACCCAAGAGCCAATTATCCACAAAATTTCGGACTTGCCCGTCGAACAAGCAAAGTGGATAGCTCTGAAGAAAATCGACTACACTGACCAGGTCGGTAAACAGCGGACGTGGGAGGTAGCGACACGCAAGACGCGGGGCAAGGCGGGCGTAGACGCGGTTGCAATGGGCAACATACTCCTGCATCCGTCGCGGCCGGCGTCCACCATGCTCGTGATCCAGTACCGGCCGCCGCTGGATTCGTACACGGTAGAGTGGCCAGCCGGCTTGATCGATGCCGAGGAGACGGCCGAGCAGGCTGCCGTGCGCGAGTTTAAGGAGGAAACGGGATACGATTGCCGTGTACTGAGTATCAGCCCGGTGCAGGCGGCCGATCCAGGCATGAGCGACGCCAACATGCAAATGGCTATGGTAGAGGTGCAGCTGAGCGAAGGCGACGAAGAGCCTGAGCAACGTCTCGAAGACGGCGAACACATCCAGCGCGTAGTCGTACCCCTTAACGAGTTATACGACCGCTTGGTTGAGTATTCTAAAGCCGAGCGTACTATTGTTGCAGCGAAGCTGTTCCACTTCGCTGCTGGAATGCACTTCGCGCAGACGCAGAAGTACTTCTAACCCTCGTAGCATTAAAGCCTATTGCCTAGAGTCTAGAGCCCCTAAATACATTTTAGATGTTACATTATAACGAGAGAATTACGAATACGTCCATGATAAATCTGCAAATCGTATATGTAGGTACCTAGGTACCTTAGGTAGTAAGTACATGTACCTAATTATTGTCTGACCAGTGACTAGTCGGCCATGTCCCTACTGGAACGTGTACCCAGCCAAGCTGTACTACCACTATATACTCCTTTGAGTTAGGTACCTCTCACCCAAACAAACACCTACGCCTTGCCAATGAGCTTCAACATTGGCTACACGCACATACATACCTAGGGGACACTTATGCCATCCCGTGAGCGAGAGATTATTCTTTCTTTACTATTCATTTCTATCTGCCCTACATGTGTTCTGGCATTGCTCAACCTCGAATCCACGGATCCTCTCCCAGTTGCCATCATGAGGTCGTGGATCTCGAGTTTGTGGTCTACGGCTGCGATTGTTTCTGCTCAAAAGCCGGACCTTGCATGGTATCCTCCGAGTAACACATATATAAATAATCTAACTATCGCTCTTCATGGCGAAGGGGTCTACGGATTTATCTTCAACACCTCAGATACGCCAGATGCGCAATACGGGTCGTATAATTGGTGCAACATGCCGCATGTTCGGAAGACAGAATACGTCAGCCCGACAAGCGAGTATCAACTTATATACGTCGAAATAGTTGGTCTAAAGCGCCGATTAGTTATACCACCTTGATGGAAGCAACTAATCCTAGTTAGATTCAACGGCATCATAAGCGAACACCGTACGCTAGCAACGCTTTCCCGGTGGAATCTTACCGTTGGGATTGCGATGATCAAGGTCTCTACTACTACGGTAGCCCCTTCGGAAGCGAGAATAAACACCCCGCTGAGGTCTTCTGGAAAGGATATATATCTACAACCAACCCCTTCAAACCCTCTGGTTGGACTGGAACTTGCCAATTCCCTCAAATAACTTCCGCGGGGCTCGACGATTCCTGGATCCACGGCCGTGATCTTTACGAGGTTTATCATGACCTGCTTGGATTTATCCCCTCCAGAAGCGAAGACTGGAGAGCTAGCGTGGTGTACCGTGTTACCCAGAACGTGATCACGAGTCAGGTCGCCGGCATGTTGATTAATGGGATGTGGCAGACAACCGAGGCGATACCGCTGATTGTCCAAGGAGCCGGGATTGATAGCCTTGAACCGCAGTATAGTTGCAAGGTAGGCAGTGATCTATTCGATACCATCAAGTCCTCCTCTAATGCCGCTTGGAAACGCCATCTGGAAGATGCTGCCTACTTATTTGGCAAGCTAGACAGTATATCAGGCGTGTCACCAAGCGATCCTGGATTCCATGCAAGTTTTGATCACTACTTTGATAATCTCTCTGCGCGGCAGTGTCACGCCAAACCGCTACCGTGCAAGCTGGAAGGCGGTGTAAACTCGTCCACCTGCGTTGACCAAGCAATGGCTAACGCTGTGTATCGCATTGGGCAGTGGGAGTATTCGCAGACGTACCGTGACGCCAGCGCTTCGCTTGCCGCGTCTGCTACTACGTACGGTGTATGGATTGCTGAACTGAGTAAACATCTGCGGGATGCGATGGCTGGCGAGGGAGGGCCAATTTACTTCCACAATATAGCACATGATGGATCCGTAAGTCGGCTGCTAAGTATACTACAAATAGATATCATGGTGGTAAGTTGCTCCGTCTCGTGTTATCATAAAACCAAGTAGGGGCCTTCTAACGCCGAACATTCCCAGTGGCCTGGAATGGGTAGTGAGGTAGCATTCGAGTTATATAAAAGGCAGGGAAATGCGACGGTGTCTCGAGATCCACATATGAAACCTAATGACGAAGCTCGCCAGATGCCACCAAGAGTAAAATGCAATGGCGGGTATTTTGTAAGGGTCTTGTTCGGAGGTAAGATTTTCAGGTCCTCTAGCCCTATCCTCGGTGCGCTGGATATGGTGCCGGTAGAGACCTTGCTGGCCTATTTTGACGGGCTAGTCGGAGCAGATGCAAGTTTGGTTCAGGGTAAATGCAACGGTACGCTACCTGTCTAGAGAGAAGCCGAGACGAAGCAAGTCACAGGTTGTATCGTACACTGGGAATGTTAGCAATGAAGTCGCTGTTCAGTGCTGAGTGGCGCCTAGCTGCTTCTCTACATCATCCCATCTACCAGCTCGCATTGGGTCTAGAGCTCGTACTTTGGCTAGCCACTTTGCGGGGTCTTCAACCTGCTCTCCGAAACTCTTCAGCGCAATCGTATATTCTAACAAAGACTCGTAAATCCACTTTACGTCCTCGTAATCTTCCAGCAAATCGTTGATATTATCAATCTCCTTCTTTACGTAGGCCGTCCGCTCCGCGGTGGTTAGAGCCGGCGCTATTGTTGGGTTTCTGGCACGGTTCACGATCTGCGACACCAGATATTGATGATAATACCAGAGGCTTTGGTCCTCGGGTCCGACATTGAGAGCTTCTCGGACAAGATCGAGTTCCTCTTCCAGGAAAATCTTCCTCGCCGCGTCGTTTGCGTCGCGTTCGTCTAGTAAACGCAATATCAGTTGACTTCGAGAGTGCCAAGCTGAGAAATTTGATAAGTCGCCATTGATCATCCTTGTGGTGTAGGCGAATTCTTCTTCAACCATACTCTTACCATTCAACGAAGGGCTCTCTAGCATGGCTACAACGTTCCTCCTATATCCCCAGGCATGGAAATTGCGGCGGTCTTTGGTTAACATCTTAGACGCCAGTGCAAGTTCGGCCTCCCAGATATGGCGCGCAACGGTGGCGGGGAGTCGTACGATAGCCTGCTCGAGAAGCCATCTACGATACTTCCAGATCCAATAGCACTTAGGAAATTCTAGTAGAAGGGGAATGGTAAATGCGAGCTCGGACTGTAATGTGTTGACGTCGGCCTCAACATCTTCTCTTCGCTTACCACCAGTTGCAGCATCGTTCTTCCCGGATGTAGAGGAGGGGGAGTCTTGCTCTGGCGGGATCGCACGGGAGGGCGCGGAGAAGAATGCCGAGATTAGACAGCGACGCCGGACATTCCATATTGTATAATACTCGGGGTTTAAACGTAGCAATTTGGAGGTAAGCTGGAAGAGGGAGGAGTCATAATTGTTGGCCAAGGCTTGGGCACGGATAGAATCTTCGAGATGGCGATACTTGGCAATCTTATCAAGGTCCTGCCGACGCTGTTCTTCGGTTCGGGCGGTTCGGGCGGTGCGAGCTGCGCCGTGCTATCTTGCAACCCGTCAGTAAATGCTGTGTGGCAGTCTCTTTTCGAGTAGACGCACGCTATCCATATTGGTTCGTTTATTTTCGACTGGACTATCAATTGAAGGCAAACATAGGATATTGTACCTGCGTTTGTGTCGTATGCGGTTCCAATCTATTGTATTGTACGTTGGAGTAGTGTTGAAGTTAGTGTTGTTGATAAGATAAAGGGACAAAATCATACCAGGTATACGAAGTATAATAGTACTATAACAGAGGTAGCAAAGCAAGTACGTAATAGTGGGGCAATAGTCTCAAACACCTTTTACTTACCTAATTTATACCTACCTTATGCATGCATTGTACAATACGGTATCCACCACAAGCATTGTACCTCGGTGAATAAGTGAAAATAACAAGTACCTCTACCGTATCCTGCTTCCTAACATCTCCTTACACCTTAGACAGCTAGGAAATTATCGTCACTTTGTTCGATTTCATATTAGAGGCCATTGGAATCTACTAGGTTAGTTAGACTGGCCTTGCGGATCACGAACAGGTTGGTATTTATTACTACATCTTGGAGTCTTATTGAGGCAGTTACTAGCATAACCGCATAACCTCCTCGAGTTCAGCAGTCTCGCAATGGCTTCCATTAGCGCTCCTCAAGATGGAGGCAGTTTCCCTTAAGCGCAGAGTCTTTCTTTTGTTATATTTATCTCTCCATTCCTTCCTCAGCCTTCCCGAACCTTGGAGGGACGCTTGTAAACATCCTCCGGTAGGTACCTAGCTTGCACTTCTACTTCGCGAGGCTCGTCCATTCCAACCTAATAGTTTACTCCTCTGTCTCTCTCGACCTGAGGGACGATATCAGTAACTTTCATTATTTTTTTTCTTTTCCCCCAACATGCCTATCGTGTCACCAGACCGATTTGTACCATCGTATTATCCCCTTCAAGATCGTTTTAGAGCCACCAAGCAGGTTAACGAACTCTCGCCGTTAGAACGGCTTCATCGTACGGAGAACGCTGCTTCCGATGTTTTCTGCTTCACGCCGAAGCGGTCTTCGCCCCTCTCCGCTCGACAGGCTTCTCGTTCTGATGATAGCCAGCGGCGTCTCGGTACTGTTCTAGGCTTACACAACCTGGAGCAACGACAAGTCAGCAATGGTACCGTCTGGTCCGTCGGCGGCTTAGCCCCCGGAGGCGTTAATGACGGTCGTGGGCGGAGAATCAGCTCTGGCACAAATGCTCGTCTATATACCACTACATTTTCGAATTCGCAGCCCAAATCCGAAGACGAGCAAGAGAAGCATGAAGGGAGAATCGCCCTAGCGCTGAAGATAGACCGAATCCAGCGGATTTTAGATTTTGACGGGTATTCTACTTTTCCTCGCTGTAAACGCAAAGGGAGACCCCCATTGCGAGAGGCCAAGACAACATGGACAGGAAGCGAGTGGAGCAACGACGGTTACGTTCCTAGTATGCAAAGCAAACCCCATACTTCTCTTCGGCCCAGCGAGACTGACGCGTCCGTAGAGATACAGAGAGGAGGGCGGTGTCTCCCTAATGCTCCTTTCAAGTGTGTAAATCACCCCTTCTAGCAACATACCCGTTAACATCTGCCAGGGTCCTTGATGCTCCGGGATTACGTGACGATTTCTACTGCTCGGTTATGGCATATTCTCACACTTGTAACACGTTGGCGGTTGGGTTGGGCAATCTGCTCTATGGGTGGTCAGAAGCTTCAGGCGTCACACTTCTGAATGCGGGGCTTAAGGATGGTTCGTGGCTAACTTCGGTGGGGTTCTCATCTGAGAAGGGCGGCAAGTCAATACTAGCTTTCGGCCGTTCAAGCGGACTACTCTCCTTAGTATCACTTTTTGACAGTCTACTTCCCCGTTTCGAGACGTATCATCCCGCACCCATAGCCTGCCTTTCCTGGCGCCCCACCTCCACCACGCGAGCTTCTCGAAACAAGCGTAATCCTGGTGTTCCAGTTAACACGGAAGATCTCCTTGTGGGCGACGACCTGGGTGACGTATATTATTACGCAGTAGAATGGCCCGAGCCCTAGGAAGTGGCCCGGGAAAACTGGCGCGGTACGATGACCTTACTTGCCCGTATCAAAGTTCACTGCCAGCAAATATGTGGTCTCGCCTGGTCTCCTAACGGCAGACAGTTCGCTACGGGAGGAAACGATAATTTATGCTGCCTCTTCACTATAGATGGTCTTGTAGGTGTAGAGGCTGACCTAAGCTTGGGGTTTTCGAAATTATCAATAGCGAACACGGTTCATAACCAAGAACAACAACCTACCTCACCACATGCTATCAACCCTGGGGATGGTGCTTCATTTTCGTTGCGCGAGTTTAATTCTGACAGCCCCGATCCATCGTCAGCGCTGAGATATTTCCCCGCCGGCTCCGAGAAACATCGGTGGCAACACGGGGCAGCCGTGAAAGCTATCGCATTCTGCCCGTGGCGCCAAGGGTTGGTTGCCACCGGGGGAGGATCTAATGACAAATGCATTCACTTTTACCACGCAAACTCTGGGGCCGCACTTGCCACTATCTCGGTTGCAGCTCAGGTTACTTCTCTCATATGGAGCACGACTCGACGGGAGATTGCCGCCACATTTGGATATGCACAGCCTGACCATCCGTACCGCATCGCCGTATTCAGCTGGCCAGACTGCCGACAGGTTGCTGCCGTGCCGTAGGAGGGCGAGCACCGCGCGCTATACGCTATAGCATACCCGGGTGGTCCGAGCGATACATACCGCACAAAAGAGAGGCTAAGAAGTCGCACGGCTGAGGAGGGCTGCATCGTGGTAGCGAGCAGCGACGAGAGTGTCAAATTTCATGAGGTATAGGTAGCATCACGCAAGGCGACTACGCTTGGGAGCGGTGTTCTGGCTGGGAGCGACATCTTAGAGATGGAAGAAGGCATCGACAAGGAAGGGGAGGTGATTCGCTGAGAAGGGAAGAAAAGAGGGAGGAGGGAGGGTTGCGCACGATGTAACATGGTTCGCAATAAAAATTGAAAAGACAGGCTATGTTAGTTATAAAATAGCCCAATTCCCTTTAACGTATGGATAAGGGGCTCGAGCTCTTGTTTTCCCGTATTCCATAGCTTCTATGACTGTTTTAACTTAATTGAGTTACTTGACTGGCTTACATACTAGTAGTAAAAGTTTGATGCCAATAGTAGAGGGGCAAATGGGTAAAGGGGTAAAGGAGTAAAGGAGTAAAGGGGTAAAGGGGTAAAGGGGTAAAGGGGTAAAGTAAACTACCACAAGTCTTACAGCATGAAAGTTTATGTGCCTAGGGATAAGAAATGATTACGTTCTTTTGTTTCGACGTCATTCCGTTACTATGTATGTTTAGTCAGAGGTCAGAGACTCCAGGGGGCTTGTCTAACAAGTGTATTTTATATCATTGGTTGTAGCGGTCAAGTGACACTGCATCGTGACTAAATGGCTAATAATGATAAAGTCGATTAGGTGCCTTATAGAGCATATCCAACTAATCCTATTTTGGTTCGGTCACGTTATGTTATTAGAAGGTAGTTGCTCATCTACCTACCTAACCTAAGGTAGTCACCGGTCACTAACACCCGCAGGCCTCTCGCCCCGCCCCGCTCTCCATTCCTGCCCCGCCAATACCTAACTGGCTTTAAGTAGGTAGGTACCTCTTTACCGTAGGTACCACCTGCTTACATAGTACCTCATGTTGAAGTTGTTCGCGAATCGCAATGTCCCTAGGTACATAGTACCTATGCAATTTTGGTCATCGAACTCAAATCACCTGGGCTTTGCTGGGACCGGAAAGGTTGCCTTGGATTTAGCACGGCTCCTCCCCCCCACCCGAAACCAAACCCGTGCCTCCAACCTTTAACCTACCTCACTTCAACACCTTTACCAACCCGAGAACCCATAATCATAACCATCTATCTATCTATCCATCCATCCATCATTATCATCATCACCACCCTCATCAAACCAACGCCACTAAAAGAAGAAGAATAAGAAGAAAATTATCTAATCTCTTAATTTTAAGGTCGTCTTTTCTTTTTCTAACCAATCTACCTGATTTCTCAACTCGTTTCCGCATCTCTTTCTTTATCTTCCGCTGTCCGTCTCGTTATTGCCAACGAGCATCACCCGTTAAGATGCGATCAAAGTTTAAGGACGAACATCCCTTTGAGAAGCGCAAGGCTGAGGCCGAGCGCATTCGTCAGAAGTATGCCGACCGTATTCCGGTATGTGGTATAATCTCTTTTCTCTCCATCTCCCAATATCTTCATCCGTCCGAGTCGTTCATAGCTTCTATCGTCCCTCTTCCCCTCTGGAATTCCACACCCGTTACCACCTCACCGCTTTATTTACTCTTACTCTTCGCTCTCCCCCCTTTCAAAAAGACGACCCTATATCTAACCAAATATTTCCGCCAATAGGTCATCTGCGAGAAGGTTGAGAAATCCGATATCGCGACAATCGACAAGAAGAAGTACCTCGTCCCCGCAGATCTTACCGTAGGCCAGTTTGTCTACGTCATCCGCAAGCGCATCAAGCTATCTCCGGAAAAGGCAATTTTCATCTTCGTTGATGAGGTCCTACCTCCAACTGCTGCTCTCATGAGTAGCATTTATGAGGAGCACAAGGATGAAGACGGGTACGGTCGCCTTTATCTCCAACCCTTGACCTTTTCTCTTCGTCGAGATGATATGGCATGCTGACCGATTTGTCTTTCGTAGATTCCTCTACATAACCTACTCGGGCGAGAATACTTTCGGCGGTGCTGCCTAAGGCCTACTCTTTCTCGGATTTTCCCAAACGGCGTTAACGGTTTATCTCGGGTTGGACGACAACGGTGTGATTATTAGTGGCGATGAACTATGGATAGGGACAGGAATGGTCACGACGGATGATTGATAGGAGTTGTGTCTGTCTGCCTGCCTAATCACGTTCCGCTCCCAGGTGTGTGTAGGTGACAAATTAGATAGACCCTTTTTTTTCATTTCGTATCATCAATATCAATGTGGCCTGTCTATGAATTCACATGTTGGGCATCTGGAGCTTGAAGTGACTTGTGTAGTTGAGAATGCACGTCCTAGATCTACCTTGGCGTCACAATCCTCCACGATTATTGAGTTAGCTCTAATCTCCTATTTCGGTTCTAAGGGGCGAGCCGCAGTACACCGCTACCTAAGGGGCCTCTTCAGTTGTCGACGCTATTTGGACCTTATTAATAGGACCATATATGTTCTTTCCCTGTATCAACTAGTAATAAAGAAAAATCTATCTAATGGAATATCAAACCTACGGTTCGGATTTAAATTGTTTTGCAGTGCAGTGCCATGTATAGCCATAGACCTAAATTATCTTCATCTTATTTGACAATGTACGCTAGGCACAATAATACTGCTAGTTTCAAGTTGATTGATTGAGTTCTTTCTCTACTATTTTTACGATAGTACATCCCGTTTCTTTGGAGGTTTGTTTTGGTTTGTTGATATAAGAGGTAGAGTATGTACTTGTGCCTAGTTCGAGCTTGACGACACGGTTAATATAATTATACGAGGAGCAAGCAAGCAGGATTTCATTGAGGGCCAAAGAGATGGATAGGGGAGGGGGAATAAAAATTATACATCTAGGTATCTACGAAGCATACCTAGATATATACCATAATCGTATCTAATTAGTGCAAAAGACGAATCTAGTATTCTAGATGATGAGAGTGGGACTCGAACCCACGCGGATTGCTCCACTGCGAAATTTTTATACCCTGTTAGATAGGATCTTACTAGGGATTCAGGTCGACCTGAACGCAGCGCCATAACCACTCGGCCATCTCACCGTTGCAACTTTTGCAGATACTGTAGTTAGTTGTCAACCTAGTTTAATTATGCCTAAGTAGTAGTTCGAGTTCTATTGTGTTCAAAATGGGTGGTGAGTTAGACAAGACACTGATGCAATATACCTCAGTGAAACGTGGTTAGTCTACCCGGGCCTCAGCTTATTCTTTCAATACCTACCTACGCAATATAAACCATATATCATGCCACTTGAAAAGTCCCGGAGGAAAGGCATGTAGAGAGCGAACCTAGAGCTTGTGTACCGATATATGATATATGCTATATGCCGCCTATATTGAAGTACATAACACGTGGGTTTGTCAGGATTCTAAAGGAGGCCAGATGCAAGGGAATTCTAGGAAGTTTACTATCACTATCGTGGAAACGGTTCGAGGCTGGAAAGTTGGTATTATTATATTTTGCAGTCGTAAAATCGGGATGAGCGAATTAGATACAGTGATAAACGAATAAGGACGTCTACACCTCACGTTGATCTAAATCACACGGAGAAGACTGTCAAATGCAATGCCTATTCCGATTCGAATGAGCGCACCGGAAGACGCGCGTATCGATGCTTACATGTAATCAATCCTCTTTCGCTTCCCTCCAATAACGTTCGACTCGCTTTGGTCTACCCTTATCCGCCTCCACCCTACATCTAATTGCGCCTGACATTTTTGTTAAAAAAAAAAGAAAACAGAAAAAAAAAAAAAAAAAAAAAGCACGAGTGACACCGCGCGTCTAACAGCGCGATTCGAAGCCGGATGCAATGGAAAGTAATCGTACACGGGGTGAATACTTTCGAATCTCTGCCTGGAATCGAGTCATCCCTTGACATGGTTGTACCCACATGTAACCCCTATAAGCGGCTCGAATCAAATAGCACAACCGTAAATTAACGCCGATTTTTCTTTGCTTTTCCCCATTGGGAATGGATGATGTAGATGGAAATATCAAGTAATTAATTCGGCCCTGTCAGAAACGTCAAATCGTGGGTGGGAATCGCTCAGAGCCTCCAAACCTTCCTAATCCTCAAAATAATGCAAATCCTGAACATCCGGCCGATGTAGTACAGCTGTGTATAAAGCAACCGAGCCGAGATCGAACGACGGTACGTAATTCCATATCCAGAAGCGACGCCGATATGCCAGCTTTATTATAATTCCACTCCCTTTCCTCAAACGCGTTTACTCTAGAGGGTATGAGATATCACGCTGGGTTACCTTTCGCGCGCTTCTGTAATCGAGGAGTTCCGGGCGGCTTCTTGTTGGCCATTGCGACACCATTAACCTGAGGGACCCCCATGCTCGCGGGTGTAGGAGCGCCGTTTTCCTCCTCGACTTTTACCGTGGAAGGCCTCCTTCGTTTGTTGCTTGCTGGGCTCGTATTAGAACTGGGGCCGCTAGAGCTCGTTCCTTGCTGACTCTGTTGTAATTGCATGCCAGGTGCTTGCATGTGTCCCTGAGCAGGACTACCCATATGAGGAGAATTCGGAAGCTGTAGATGCGCGGCAGCCGGCGAAGCGCCCATAGGGAATTGGCCGAAATTAGGGGTCCGTGGGTTGGGCAGACCGTTGCTCTGGGGTTGGCCGTTCACTAGAGGCTGCTGAGGGCCATTCGTAATATTCTGGTTGACGTACTGCTCAAGCGCAGCGTAAGGCGAAAGACCCGGATGTGAATGGTAAAAGTTGAATAATGGCTATGTAATTTCGCAAGTTAGTATTGATGTAGGCTTACAAGAGACGTAGTGGCATCTCAGCTGGCATCTCATCTCATCGGATATGTCAAACTTACATTCATTTGTCCGACAACTTCTATAATCTGAGACGTAGCATGTTAGCAAAAGCGCGTAAAATGAAAATTAAAGCTCGTACCTCGAGGAACTGGAATACGGCTTCCGTGAGGCCTATATTTTGCTTGACAGCCGATGGCGGCAGGTCAATATCAGGGGGTGGATGTGGCGGCGACTTCATTGTCTTCGCTTTGCCTTTCTTGCTCATCTCGGGAGACAATCGCGAATCCTGACCATTGACCTTTAGCCATTCTTTGACCCAATTGTGTGCGGGTCTCGCCGCTTCGGTAACCATCTTCCTCGAGTGATATTCTTCGTGGCTTTTAGTGATAAATTCTAAAACATCTAGCTTTTGCTCGCTATCAAACTGGGCTCGGAGTGTCCCTGAGGCAATGACCTAATCACCAAGTCGTTAGCACCCAAGTTATATTTCCTACGACGGCTTGCGCAACTTACGTGAGAGTGTTCAAACCAATAGGTCAAGTGTGCTTTAGTATTCTCGATAAAATGGCCGCCATTCGGCAACGGTCTGTCAGTGAGGCCCTTTTCGAATGTCAAATTAATTTTTTTGATCCCACTCTCGTAGTGCGTGTGGAAGTATCGTGCCAGCGCAGGCTGTGTTATCTCGTATAGCTTATCTGTATGCTCTTCATTTCCCGTGTCGCTACCGACATAGAATAGAGAGATCCGGAAGACGCCTTTAGGTGAGAAGAATTGTGACACGAAGTTATTCCAGTACGTAAGGTCATCCTTTGGTCGTGGGACCTCCTCCTAAGTGAACAATGTCAGTGATTAGTCTCAAAATCAAGTGTAAGACCCGGGTAGCTATGATTGAGATTAGGTGGGGAAAAGACTGACACTAATACGATAACTACTGAGCTGTTCGCCGAACTGAAACAGCTTTATCAGACAATGGCCCTTCATGCTATCATTTTTGTGTTGATGGTGCAACAGCTGCTGCTGGATGCTATTTGGCAGCTGCATATGGACTGCCTGTAAAGCTTGCGGCGTATGCTGCTGAGGCTGGCTTTGCTGGCCGTTGGGCACCTGCCCTTGGCCTTGCGGTTGTTGCGGTTGGTTGCCTTGTGCGGGATTGGACACCGGGTTCTGAGGCTGGGGTGGTTGCGCGACAGCCGGCGTCGGGGCTCTCTGGGGGCCTTGCGAGTTCGGCTGCGGTTGCTGGCCCGGTTGCGGGCCGGGTTGCTGTTGACCCGGTTGTTGCGGCGGCTGGGGCTGTCCTTGCTGTTGCGGCTGTCCTTGAGGTTGAGGTTGAGGTTGCGGTCCCTGACCCTGGGAGACCTGTTGCGCCATCGATTGCGCCATTTGTGCCTGTTGGATCTGTATTTGTTGAGGGTTCATCTGCCCGGGATGACCAGGTTGATTTCCCTGGTGCATCTGATTATTCGCCTGGTGCTGAGCTTGAGCCTGTTGCATTGCTAACTGCTGTGCAAGGATATGCTGTAAATGAATATGGTTGTCAGCAAGAAGTCTAGGAGAACTTGTATATTGAAAAGGTTTCAGGATGCGTGTAAAAAGTACCTGTGCGTGCTGGGAATTTTGATGCTGTCCCTGTTGAGCGAGATGCGCCTGCTGCAAATGGGGCATATTGCCGCCTACTCGTTGCATATTCGCCGAGTTTCTTATGGCTGAGAGATGGGCCGCCGTCATGTTACCCATGTTCATTCCCTGCATGTTCATAGGAATACCTGCGTACATTTGTTGCTGTAATAACGCCTGCCTCTGCTGTAACATCCTTTGCTGCTGCATCTGGGCGATCATCTGGGGATTTTGAGCTGCGACTACGGGTTATTAGCAACACACGATTGTTCTCGATATCATATTAAACCGGAGCTAAGCAAAAATCTAGGCTTACGAAATTGTTGTTGTTGTTGGAACATCTGCTGCTGCTGCTGGGGGCTCAGGTGCTGTAAGGCATGGGCGTTAGGGCCGGCAGCACCAGGAGGCATAGCTCCCATCATAGCAGCAGGATTGACCTGTCCACCAGGTCCAGACACAGCCATGTGGGCAGCCATTTGAGGAGGCATACCAGGCTGGGCTCCTGGTTGGCTTGGGTTATGAGCCATTCCGGGAGCACCCATGGGGTGTCCCGGATGGGCGCCGGGATGCTGCTGCATACCTGGGTGAAAGCTACCGGGTCCTATGCTCGCCATCATTTCTCCAGAAGTCGACTATCCACGACGTGGATATCGACGCCAAATCGCAACTGCTATTTCATACGCTTTAAATCCTTCTATCCCTCGTCGCGGTTCTGATGTAATCGATCGATCGTCCAAGTTAACAGCTTTGTTTGCAGCAGTTTCTTGGGCAGGCGAGGTTTTCCCAATCTTTTCTTCTCCCTCTTTCTTTTGGCAGGCAAAGACTCAGAAATCCTTCTCCTTGTTCTACTAGTTATAATGTGAGTGGATGCGACTGGACGCAATGCGATCGCCGATCATGGAACGTGTATCCTAGTGCTCTGATAAGGTCACCGTCGCGGTTATAGATCTTGACTGGAGGCGCAATTCGAAATTGGAGATGATTAGAGACATATAGGTGTAGGTGTAGATATAGGTCGCTTTGAAAGGGGTAGAGGACAGGGACGAAACCGCCGATGGGAACTGATTCTTTCTTGATGCCAGAACGCGGCCAGAATGGATATCCAGAATGCGCGCCGGGCGACAGCACAGATGACTGAGGAAAATAAAATATGGGTTGACTTCGTGTTAGCGACGTAATGCTAGGCAACCTAAAGCAATTGGTCGAGTTACTTCGCTCGCGGCTGTTGTTACTAGTGTCGTTGTCGCGCGTGGGTAGCCCAAGCGGAGCAAAAGAGGCGGACCTGCACGATGCGATACAAAGTGGGTGTTATTAGTTGTTGGCGTTGGCGTCGTGAGATTCGACCTAGGTACGGTATTGTACAGTACCAATGGACAGTGAATGCCGATACTGACACGGTATTAATTGTGGTATGATTTTTTTTATGCAAGGTATTTTTACCTAGTTGGTGTATTATATTATGTACTGGCTAGGTAGGTCTTAGATGATTAGTAACTGCTAGTCATCATCTTTTTTTTTGCTGGTCCTACTAACAATTTGCAACGATGCGCAAGGCCGGTAGCAAACTGATTAAATAGAAAGGGCGGTGAAATGAAGAGAGGTAAAAGGGAAAACTCTATGTTAAGAGATACGGGTTGTCAAAGGGTGTAGATGCCGATAATAATAATAATAAAAAAAGGGAAGAAGATGGTGTTAATAGCAAGGCAGTAGTGTGTAGGTGGCGGAAAGTAGTAGCGATATGTATTTGCTGTTTGCTATAGAGGAAGAATGAAATGGGATATGATGGAATGGAAGAAAAGCGTCATAAAATGAACATGCTATTTTCCGCGCTTACGGGGAGGACCTTTCTGATTTGAATTAGACGCAGCCTTATATATATATATATATATATATATGTATGTATCTAGTAAGGTGGGATAGTTTTAGAGTTCGGGGGCTTAATATAAAAGAGCAGGCTAGAACTAGGCGCGGTTTTTTGTTTTTTTTTTCCCGAGTTGTCGAGATCTGTTATGCTTCTGGTTACCTAACCTAAGGTATGGGTGCGCTGGGTTCGGTAGATTTTAGTGGCGCATCATACTGAGAGGTAACTATTATGGAAGAAAGGCACATGTAGGTAGTAGCCCAGCGGCCCAGCCTCCAGGTCCCAATCTGAGAAAAACAAATCCCATACGTACACGACCCTCCTTACTTCCACGTAATAGCCAGCCAACCAACATAAGGGTTTGTATTAGGTTCATTTTGGTGTACCTCGCAAGCCACAGCTATTTTTGACCAATCAAAGTAAAAAACAATCGCGACGCAAGTAATACAGCACCGGTTGCACTTCAATAGCCGTAGCTTTTGCAACACTTTTAAAGAAATATGACAATATTATAATGCGTTAGAACCTGGTGTTAACAATATGTAATAAACTTAGCGGCCAGACCCGGAAGCACGCATTAGTTATGAGCGCTGTTGTTGAATGACGTATAATGTTATTCGGGGGGGGATTACGTGGGTGCTAGGTACAGCGCGTTTTTTTAATGTTAAAGCCTTCAATGAAATAACGCAACCTCGCATCAAAATGTAAAAAATATAAAGAGGTTGCAGAGCAATTTTAATAATATCAAATGATAAAATGAAAGTTATTTTGGATGTTATCATCGAATATTTATTAATGCATCGTAGAGATGAAGTTTTAAAAAAATGAAAACTATAAAACCAAATACAAACACACGCACCAACTGTCCGTGTGGCGCATGTAGCTTTGAATTGTTATGTGGAAGTATTCCGTAGGTATATGTATGTATTCAATACACTAGTGATGCGGTAAGGGTCTTGCAGGCCTGCAGGCGTCGCCCTACCAATGTAACTGACCTCGATCAGCTGATGAAGAATACATGTTAAGCATCGCTACCTATCTTTAATCGACGCTTATTTCAACATAATACACATGCTACTTACATAGTACGTTAACAAAGCGGGAGAAGCTTCTTAGAGATATACTAACATGCCTAAGTAATATATAATAAAGCTTATTAATCATATCCTTGGGTTATCGTAATGTTTGTGTTTATTATTAAGTTCCCTAATAGGCTTTACTATATTATTTAAAGTCTGTACGGCTTGAATGGATCATTGGAGTCTAGAATTCAAGCATGGAAAGAGAATTCAAAGCCTTAGTAGTTATATTTAAGCTAAGCTGCACGCCGGTATGTTTTTGCGAGGTTTTCTTGTTTTCTTTAAAATGTGATAAGATATATATATATATATATGGCACGTATTGGTTTGAACGAGACTGTTTGTTTTGCTTTACATTTTTGAAGTCTTAACAATTACCCGTGCCCGCGTGCAAAGTGCATCTTATCATGGGATGAGGTAACAACGGCGTAGGGTTTCTCGACATAAATGTACAGTGACGAGATGATCAAACAATACTGTACTCTATGCATTTTATGCATGTCGGCAGCTGGCAGCTAGCAGTGGGTACCGAAGCAGCATGCAGGCTTCACGTGACGTTCCATTACTGGTACCTACCTGGTACATAGGTAATTTAGATACTGCGACTCTGTGAGGAAGGGTCAGGTGACGTATTCCACCCGGCGGGGTTAATCCGTTTCCACCTCATGTGTCCACAAATTTTTTTTTTTCTGCTGGCGCGACTTCAAAAGCTTCGACGTCGCGCTCCAACTTTACATTTCCCGTTCTTTCTTTTTCTCATCATTCTCTCTTTTGTCTCAACTGAGTTTTCTGTATAAAGTAGGCAGATACACAATCGTATTTGCCCGGATTGCAAAACTAACAGCTGCGCTGCAGTCAGTCTGTTATCGTGAGGTTCGTTATTCTATTTCATTTACAAAGCAAGCGAAAAGCATTGCGGCTGGCATCTTTCTCCAATCCAGCAGGATGACATCTAATAAACATGTCTTCTTTTCCCAACTGAATCGACCATGAAAGAAGTCTAGTCTGTTCGGGTCATCCCACCAAGGTGGGAGCCTGTTACTTGCCAGTATACTTTGTCTGACTTCTCATCATGCCATCCACGTTTTGTGGCAGCATACGATGAGATGGATTGGGGATCACGTTGCAGCTGTTGCGCTTCGCATCGCGAGACATGGTGCCTTGCTAACTAAGCAATAGGTTCGCAGTGCTTACTCAACAATAATCACTTGGTTATCTAGATTTGGTTCAGGTTAGTCCAACTTTTCTATGCTTTCGATTGCTTTCGATCCCGCTTCCATGGCGTTTTCATGATGAAACTTCCAACCACATTCGCAGTTTCCACTCGAGCTCCACTCAGAGCCTTTTGAGGAGCAGATGAGGGTATAATCCTTCCTTGGATGTCTGAACAACACTTATAATTTTCTCATTGAGCAAGCATTTACCGTATCTAGGATCGCTCGCTAACGAAGTCCTAGGCATTTGTTAACTTTTTTTTTTTTAACTCTCCGTACATGTATCCTCTACATGTATGCTGATTCTTCATGGGCTTTTTTTAAGTCTAATTTGTTAGACATTAAATGTCCATAATCAATAAACCGTTTTCGTTTAAAGCGTTTCTCGCAACCTGTTCCTGACGATGCAGCCTGCAGCTTAAACCAATCCTATGTGCCCAGACGCCATGTTTTCGCTCGTGATATCTTAATGTACATGTCGTACAGATCCAAATTTAAATCACAACACCCTCGCGTATGCCTTCCCTTAGGACACCGTAGTTGATAGAGTTATTATTCTCCTGCCTCTTAACTCTTCCCCCAACCATACCTCTTCGGTTCCTACCAGTCCGACCCCTGCCTAGCCAATTTAATTTGAGCAATCGACCTAGCTCTGATACCATCTTACTGGCTTCATCCGTCTCGGCTGGGTTGACGCCCGTTTCGACACTTGCCAACACGCTCATGCATTGAAGCATGCGACCTACCATTTCCGTAACCTGCTTGCTGTCCTCAACGTTCTGCTCCCGTACACTTCCTAGGACTTCTCTGCCACCGTCTCTTGTCTGCGGTGTGAAAGACCTGAAAAAACTCCCGGTACCAGTAGATGCTGCGTCTGACACGCCACTACCAAACGATACGTTACTGATAGCACGGCTCCGAGACGGATTCGAGTCGTTGCCGAATACTGTCGTCGACGTCGAATTATAGCTTGCGATGCTTGGATCTAGTGACATGGCTGTCCCAGGGCGGGCGGATAGCGGATCGTTTGGTGAAGTAGATAGGGATGCAACGCTATCATTTAAGAGAGGCGGCGAGGCTAACGCGAGAGAGGCGAGCGAAGATGGCAAATGCTCGAGAGAAAGCCGGGAGAATATAGTCTTGAGTTTCTCGTATCGGGGGAGAATCATGGAATCTCGGTATGAGATCAGCACAAGCCTTCGAACATCAAGAACGCTTGACGCTGGCAACAAATGAGGCTCTGCATCTGATGCGCCTGACTGGGCATTTGGGGCCGACTTAGCGACTACTCCGCCCCAGAAGTCGCGCGCCTGCTCGGGGGTCAATAAGGATCCGCAGCCAGAAAACTCCAGGTCTAATGGGAGGAAAGTGGCCTGCATGTAAGGTAGGATACTTGTGAATGTGAATATCCATAGCTCTACTAGGGAGGGGATTAGCCTATCCTCAGAGGTCGTGCGAAGAGTGTGATCAAGCGAGGCAAACCCCGTCGAAAGGAGATCCCGTAGGTCGTCAATAATTATGTGAGCTGAACGACGCTGTATGCAGTATTGTATGTGCATGGTTACGACCCGGTTGAAATCTTCCACGGGCAATCGTAAATCTTCGCCTTCGAAAATGACTAGTAATTTAGCCCTTAGGTACGGCCAGGCGTCATCCAGAGACATGTTGTGAAGTCCGTATTTAAGGGAATCAATAGGTTCGGAAAGGTAAGAGGTAGCTGTTGCTGCAGCGGATCCGAAACTACTGGGCCCAGGCCATTCCGGACCTACACCATAGGATGATTCGTTATCGTCTCTTCGCTTCTCGCGAAGAGCACGCCCTCCGTGTCGCAAATCTAACCCGCTAACGCTTTTACCAATGTTGTTGTTTGGACCCGGACTAGGAGGTAGGTTAAAATTATACAGGCTTGAGGGCGCGCTAGGATCGACGGGTCGGGAGTTGCTAGCAGCAGAAGAGAGTGGGAGATGATAGTCGTCTTTACTGCTCAGCTTATGCTTCTGCCGCGATAGGAAGTGATGTTTTCTCTCCTTATCTTTCTCTTTGCCTTCCTTCTCTACGGATGGATCAGCTGGTCGGATGGTGGCGGCAGACGAGTTACCCAGGTTATAGAACGATTGCGAATCCACCAAACTGGTTGTACTAAAATTGGCACGTTGTAGCGAAGCCAGAGCAGAGCCAATCTTTCCGGGACTCGGCATTGGCCGCTCTTTCGCCTCCCCCTTGGTGTCAATCTTTTTAGGTCTGGAGAACAGCTTGACTTTGGACTTCTCAGCTTTGGCAGGTTTATCCGAAGAAACCGGGGCCGTGGGTGTGGCCAAGGATTGCTCCGGCGGTGGTAGGCCGGGCGAGGTTTGAGGTGACCTTGGAAATACGACATTTGCAGCGGCAGCGGCAGCGGCATGGCTCCCCAGAAGGCCGTTATGGTATCCTTGAGTGCTGAAGCCGTTATCCCGAGGGCCGCTTGCCTCGGTTAGACTTAGCATGGGCGGGCTGCGGTGACCAGTCACTGGCTTCGGACCCGTTCTTTTTAGGGAATCGTGAGCATCGCTGCCGGGGAAAGGGACAGTTTGCGACCGGTGGCGGCTGTGTTGTTGATGTTGCATTACGGCAGCCTGGGCGGCTATTTGACTAGCTGAAAGGGTCGCGCCAGTAGGCTGGCTCGGAGCTGGTGTCTGAGTCTGAGACATGGCGACTTGGGAAAGATTGGATATGCTCGTAGAAGGTAAGGTGGGTTCGAAATGACCTTGGGTTTGCGAGTGCTTCCTTACGTGGCCGGGGCGAGCGGGAGGTAAGGTCAAGGGCGAAGCGGTTCTAGATTGCGGAAGCTCGATGCTGGGTCGAGTGGGACGGGAGAAGTTATGCGGACTGGTACCATAAGAAGGACTGACAACGGGGCTCTGAGGGCCTCTCGTCTTGGGAACGGAAACAGGATCGTCATTCGACGACGTATCTATCCTACGGATTTGAGGTCTCAAGGAGGATGTCGAGGAGGAAGCGGCGGCAGCTGCTGCGGTAGAAGCCGAAGAAACGGTACCAGGAAGAGGAGAGAAGCTCCCCGGGGCTCTCTGTTGGGATCGTGCTGGCTGCATTGTGTGATAGAAAAGGTCCGAGTTCCCAAATTCCCGTTACATCTTCTCCCGAACCAGCGGTGTTATATGATCGGCACTCGAGCCCCGGTCTGTTTGATTTTCGATTTGCGCTCTTCAATTAGGTATCATACGTTACCATGCAGGGAAGTAGTAGGTAGCGCAAAAGATACCTCATCCGACTGAGCAAATATATTTATCCGTAGTTGAGTAGTATGATATGATATCTAATGTAGAGTAGAGAGCTGGTATCATTAATGTAAAAAAGTGGGTTGAACGTAGAAAAGGATGGTTTATACACATAGTACGCGTGGAAATGCGACATCAAACACCTTGTTATCATGCGCCGCTAGCAGCACTTTTATGTACCTTGTATAAATCTACATGTACAATACGATTTACATAACGTAATGCATGTACCTGACGGGAATTGATAGCACAGCCACAGCAGCACAATCACCCCGCGCTACATGTACCATGTATAATACGTTTTCCATCACTTGTTGCAAACTTGCCCCGCTAATGCAAGAGCTTCTTTCACTAACAAAGGAAAAATCAGTAAATAAAAATACAAACTTCTCATCTTCACCACCTGTTATACGTTCTAGCACACGTCCGCAATGTCACATCCCTATTCTGTGCCAGCCTCTACCTCCGACGATGTCTCGGCGAAGAAGTTAACGGCCTATTTAAAAGCAACGTACACCAATACGAACTCCTCAGACCCTTCCATCCCACCATCAATTGAAGCCATATCATCTACAACTACCTTTGCGCTTTCGACACCCCTTTCCCTCCCCGAATCCGACGTTACTGCAGATAAGACAATATACCTACGCACATTGCGCGGTGCAGTTTCCTCTCTACAAGACCACATCAACAGCGAGTTGACAGTACGCATGGAAAAAGAGGCTATAGAAGCGGCTGCCACTGGAAACGGAAAAGGGGTTGGAAAGGGTATTGCAGCCGCCGGCGTCGATGAAGCGGCCGAGGAAGAGAATTATGGGGAAGAGGTGGTGCAGGAAGATGAATAATGATGGACTGGTCGTTCGACACGAGTATCTGCCCGAAACTACCACTTGTCCCCCATCGAATGAATCCACACCTCGAACCCATCAAGTGTCAAAAATGGCTATTATTCATTTGACTGCGGTGTCCTGATCTCGCAGGCAGTTGCCTACTTGATCGCCGTTACTCTCCAGAGCTATGCAACCATACCCACTGGTATTCTCAATGATGTAAATGAACCAGAACACCCGCGCGCCTTCCATGTATGCGACAATAGTTCAACCTTTCTACCCTGGCACACCAACGTCTCGGGCCTTCTTTAACTTCTCCCCACCAAGTACGTGATAGGCCAGTTTCCTTCTTCGACTCTGCGCCCCGGAACTGCGTGAGATCCTTATCAGTCTACCCGTGCCTCCCCCACGAACCAGCGATCATCTCGTTCCGGCTACCACTCATGCTACGCCCTCGCCTACCTAGACATCCGTAATGGACCACGCTATTATCCGGGAGTACCGCTACCACGCTGTTGCCTAGCCTCTTGTGGCAGACGCCGCACACCCTTTCCTCGCCGACAATAACCTTTCTGCTGCGCCCACTCTGCCCTCCACTAATGCCGTCGCCGAGCAGGAGCGACGCCTGCGTATTCACGAGCTGTGTTCTTCGGAGCCCCTCGACGATACGCGACTCCGACACTACACTATTAGCTGCGCGAATCCGACCGCGAAAATACGACTCGAGCTCTGTCACAGGCAGATCATCTGGTATGAGGGACAATGTTGATTCTGCTGGGAGACGCGAACCGTGTCTCGAGAGGAGTAATAAGGCTGGGCCTAAATTCGGCTTGTTGGGCGATGGTGGGTTGAGGTACAACGAGAGAAGCATGTGGTATATGGATGGCTTCGAGTCGGGATCTCGATCTTCCTCATCTATAGAAGAAGATGACGCGGCAAAGGATTCCCGGCGAGAGCTAGGCAGCGAGTGGATATGGTTGCAATATCTGGCATTTCTTGTTAGTAACATTCATTGCCGATACATCACACCGCAACATACTCCTCTGCTTTGACGTAGTCCTGCATGTTGAACACGTAAATCTCCAGTGCTTGCTTATGCGAACCCATATTGCTGAATATTATTGCCCGTGCTTCGTAAAATGCCGGATCTACACATGCTCATTAGACAATACTGTTTCTTCCTTCTATGACCTGCGCGCTAGACGGCTTACCATCGCGGGGAATTATGCTTAGCGCTTTGCTTAGACTGTACTGCTGGCTTGACTTTAGAAATGCCACCAGACTCCTGAGCTTCTCGCCCCATGATTCGTCTCGCTCGCCTTCTTTGAGTGCTTGGATCAGTAGCTCTACCAAGCGATTGTGAAAGTCCGGAGTGCCATCTTCCAGCTCCGAGATGATATGTTGCAAGTACCGGATTTCTAGATTGGCATCAATAGCGCCGAGATACCGGAGAACCCTTTCTCGCGGCAAGGTCTCGGCATTTTCGCTGTCGGCCAGGAAAATTTCCATTCCCTGGTCAGGATCTCGTCGTAGAACCCACTCTGCGAACTCGAGAATGATGTCGATCATCTCCGGCGGCAGACTTTGCAAATAGCCTACTGTTCTCTGAGGGCCCCGGAGCTGTTCAGGTATGGCTACTTCGGCGTCCACGTGTCCATTGAGGTCAAGCTTAGCTGATTCGCCGTCCGTTTCTGCGTTACCGAACTTGCGAAGGAGTTCGAGCGCCTCGCGGTGTAGCTTTTTACCATGAAAAAAATCAACTAGCTCATTATACCGATTGTGCTTCAGTAGATGCTCATTTACTACTGCGGGATCGCAGAAGTTCGGGATGCGGAAGAGAGAGCCAGCAAGGGCTGGAGTGACAAACATTAAGCCACGGAACAGTGCTGTATCAACTACAGTGAAGGTTTGCTTGAGCTCTTGCTCAAGTTGCTCGTCGGATTCTGCATGTGAATTTGTGAGTAGAATGTCAAGGTTCTCTTGCAAGTTTACTATTGAACCATTGTTAGCTTCTATTTTGCGCGGTTTCAACTTCCCAGTTGCAGGGTCGATCCATCGCTGTAGACGAGTTCTAGTGCCAGCCAGGTAACCGTTGAGTTCGCGAACGGCCTTGATTAAGTCCTTTCCTTCCAATGGCCAATCTTCGTCCATGTACTTCTTCTTCTTCGGGTTGACTCTCACGCTTGCGGTATCTTCATTGTCGGTCCCGCCCCTCTTAGAGGATGCGATGGAGGCGGTATCAGAGTCTGTTTTGCGGTGTCCCATCCAGTATTTTGCGAAGGCGCCTGGCTTGGATGGAGATGCAACCTCAATAGAGCCATCCGTCTTAGCAGCTTTACCGCCGTTGACCTTCTCGTCCTCCTCTTGTTCCTCTTCTTCCTCGGAAGTTTCCTCTTGTGCAGGTTCAGCAGACAGGTCACCGGCAATTATCCTAGGGTACAACCTCAGTACCCTCTGAGCAGGCGCGTGAACCTCATCTTCGTTAAACAACGTCAGACTTTCCGCGAATTTCCTTTTCTTGAACAGTACTTCCGCTTTTAGCATCTTGGCCTCGCGTAGGGTGCCAGTCTTATCCTTCAGTAATGCATCTTCAAGCATACCAAGGACACTTATAGCTTCGTCATAATTGGCCTTGTCCATCAATTCCTTGACCTGAGTATCGTAATCTGTAGCCTCCATTTTCCATATGACCCTGTCGCTACTGATATGAAATCCCTTTCCGGCATGGGCGAGACTGACAGTGGGTGGCGGAAAATGCAGCTGTGCCGCCCCGGGGAGCTCTATTACCTGCAGCAGACTCAAAGTTTCTGGGTTTCTGACTTCTAATGTTCCTTTGGCAGGCGGCTGAAGGGCCAAGATGTAAGGATAACTGTATCCAATGCTCTCGGGGGCGCTTTGCCACGGCACTTGGCGCTTCTCCATCGGCCTCCCATCCATGTCAATGAATAATGAGTTGATATCTTTAGCGAGCAGCATTTGCCCCTCGGCTAGCCTCGTAGATAGCGGTTTTGGCATATAACCGCCAAGTCCCATGTAGCCCATGCTCGCCGCACCGAACCTACTGCCCTGTCCTCCAGCCGCCGTGGCACCCAATCCCACGATGTCGCGGGTTTCCAAAGTCGTCACATCAACCAGTACGTATCCCGCATTCATACCACAGACTATCTTACTCGCATTTGCCCAGGTCAGGGTCCTAATAGCTTCGGGGAGCACGATCTCGGTAACTTCATCATGTAACTCGCTCTCGTGCCAGCTCCATAGCAAGAGGCGCCGTTTCACAGCTACGGCGAGCCGGCTAATAATCTCTGGGATGCCGGTGGCGGCATCCTTTACTATGTTGCTAGTGACGGCAAAACAGGTGGCGTTCTTAGTCTGGAGTAGGGTTTCGATTAACTCGTAAGATTGGAGATCGTGAAGGGAAACGTGGTAGTTGGAAAGGGAAATGATGGTGTTAGATTCTTTGATGATAGCGAGCTGCTCGATGGGGCGAGTCGAGAACTTCTCTACCTCACGTAAAAGGTCCGTAGGATTTGAGCTGGACTCGCCGTTCGAACCTCGTTGCGAATCTGTTGCGGAATGCGTCTCGTTGGTAGTAGAGGATTGCGACAGTTCGTTGAGGCGGTAAATTCTTAAGGTACCCGTGTTTAACCCGACAAGAACGCGGTCGCCTACCTCCCAAGCGCGAGTATGGTGTTAGACAATCATATAGCTAAGAGTTGCGAGATACGACCAAGTAGTGATACGCACCATAAGCTAGTATTGTTTCTATTTTGGACTTGTCGCGCGGCCTCAGCTCGATAATAGGGCGAGCCGTGAATGCTGAGAGCATGGTGCTCCGGAGCTATCCTGGAAGGATAGTCATTGATTATTGAACTATCTAGTGGAAGTAGTTGAATTTCTTAGATATTAGCCGTAGTTAGGTGATAGGTTATATTGTTTTCATCACGACGCTGCTATACCCTAAGGGACAAGGAGAAGTTGGTGTAGGGTTGGTGTAAGTTAGGAAGAAGTGAGGTCGAATAAGTTACTCCATACCTTAGGTAGGTACCTATATGTAAGGTTGTGTAGCACATGGACCACTTTCTAAACTGTGGAATTAGTAGTTATTCGAGACTGGAAACCTAACCTAACCTTAGGTACCAGGTACCTTATGTACCTAGGTTAGGTGACCTCCGGTACGAATAGGTAGTGGGTACCTGCTTCCTACGACCACATAGGTATATATAGGTATGTACCTACCTAGGTACATACCTTAGGTGCTTAAGTGTGCATACTCGAGGTAAGTAGATAGATATAAGGTATCTTGTTACTTTATTTTCTTTGATTTCTTAAATATACCTAGGTATATACTTCCTATAAGGCACATATATAGGTATCTACTTATTTAATACCTTATATTAAGTAGGTACTTTATATAAAAGTCGTTCTATATAAGCCACGAAGCCCGGAATATAGCGTAGAGCCCACACAATCCATCCTACCTCCATATCCCTCTATATGTCCATTATATTATCACTTCAACTTTAGTAAACTGTCTACATTCCAATAACCCGCATAGCTCCGTACCCGAGGGTAACAACCACCACCAAAGTCAGTAGACTACTTGGTACTCCACGGCTGATAAAGTGTTTAACGCTCAGGTACCGCTGTCCTGTCGAATCCTCTTTCATTATCGCCGCTATAGCGTGTAAGTTATGATTTCGCAATCTAAAGATTTGATGGACAACTCACTCATATTGGGGAATCCGCTTGTCGGTAATGCCATCGCTGCGCTACACATGAGTACCGCAGCCATAACAAGTAGGTTAGGATGCGGTTCGTCCATGCCCTTTCCAATATCCGACACAAGCGGTAGGATGATTAGCGCAGCCACTGTATGGCTAATAAAAGTCGCGATTACCAAGGTCAAGCTTGAAAATATCAGTAGCACTCCATAGAGATCTACTCCGTTCACCTCTTGCGAGATTCTCTCGGCTACCAGATGGAGGAGCCCCGACGACTTCACAGCCTTGCCAAGGGCCAATCCTCCCGCCGCGAGAATGATGATTGTCCACGGGAAATTATTGAAATCTTCTTTAGTGAGTATACCAATGCCGAAGAATAGCACGATAGGTATAATGGCGATAATGCCCATGTCACCGAAAGTCGACTTAAGCTGATGACTTGCACACCACAGAGCGATGGTGGCAATACATACAATCGACACGAACCACTGTAAGCCGGTAAATCGTTCTTTCACAGGCCTAATCGGCACGATGGTGGTACCCTTGCCAGGCTGGAAGGTGAGAAGAAGGAGGGTCCAGATGAGAAGAATCGATATGATGCCCACAGGGATCACAACAAAAAACCACTCGCCCCAAGTTGGTGCCGGCTCCATAACACTGAGCGCGAAAACGTTCTGGGGCGAGGCGATAGGCGAGAGCATGCCGCCAACGTTAGAAGCCAACGCTATACCCATGATCACCGCCTTGGACATGTTGGAGTCCGATGGAAGATTGCGCAGCATAGGCTATGGAGCTTATAGTTAGAGACATCAGGGCCACTCGGGAAATGGACCAGCTTACCTCAATAATCGAAAAGCAGAGAACAGGAGCTGCTACATTGCTAACGAGCATACTGGCAAAGGCCGCCACGAACATGGTGGCAATGAGAACAGTCCTCGGCTGCGTGCCCGCCTTACTAAGGACGAAGGTCGCAATCCGCTTGTCTATCTTACACTTGGACAAAGCTGCTGCAAGGGTGAATCCACCGAGAAGCAGCATGATAACAGGCGTCCACATGGCCGCAAAGACGTAAGGGGTAGCGTCTACAGAGTCCAACCTCTTATACGGCGGTAGGTCGTCACGGACGACTCTGAGAACCACGCAGAGGAAAGGGATCAATAGAGAAGTTACAAAGAGAGGGATTGCCTTGAATAGGGTTAGTCAGGCAGGCCATGTAAAGCAATGCACAAATCAAGACTCACCTCGGTAGCCCACAGCAAACTCACAAACACCAGCATAGCTAAACACCTTTGCTGCTCGGGCATCTCCATGATAGGAACGGAGAGTAGAACTAGAAAGATGGCCACAATACCAAGAAGTATAAACAGAGTGGAACTGAATAGCCAAGTCGGACAAGCGAAGCGTCCCACCGGTGTCTCGATCTGTTTCATAGGGGTTGGTGGAGCATCGTCGCCTTGTAGTCTCACCTTGATCCCGTCATTCTGAGCACCGAGGAGACCTTTTCCGAAGCTTGCAGCCTCGGCACGACGCTCAAGGCCGATAAGATCTCTCCATACCGTGTTTCGCTCCCAGACGACGTGTTCCCTAAGATGCGACCGAAGATCCTTCTTAGCAAGTGCCAAGTCGCCATGTGTTACCGCATCAGCATAAGCCTTCTCCATCTTAGCAATTCTCTCCTCGACGTGCCTGACCGTCTCGGGAAGGAAGGGATATGAGATCTCGACGGCATCCCTCATGTATTTTGGCCGAAACTCCTTGTCGATGATCTTGTCAAACTTCTTGAGCACCTTGCTGAAGCCGGTCTTGTTCAGTTGTACATATGACTTGAGCTCGCACAATTGCACGTAAAGGCTGATGATGCGCTTCTTCAGCATGATGCCGGAAGAATACATCTGGGCGGTCTCGGTATAATCATCGTATCCAATACTGTACCTGCGCGACCTGGTAAAATCTGTTGAAGCCGTCAAATCTGTAGAAGCAAACATGGCACTCGGGGCGGTGCGTCGTCGGCCGCCAAGGCTGGAGCGGCGCCTCCTATTCAAGGCTGAGGTTTCATCTTGATCTTCGTCGTCGTCATCGCTATCGTCTGCACCGTCGTCAGTCGAACGCGTACTGCGCGTACTGCGGGTGCTCTTAGTGCTCCGAGTACCAAGAGTATGTACCACTTGCTCGCTGGCAGGATACTGCTGCATATGGGGTCTTTGAGCAAGTTCAGGGTCGCCATGGCCAGCCGCATCAAGTGACTCGATATCGCGCATCAGATCGTCGACATCGTCGAATAGCTCTTTCTCCTTGACAACATAAAAAGACGAAATCTTTTCTATTTCCACATCCAAAGCGCGACCGAACACAGTTTCGGGATCTTCGTTTCGTAAGAGCGGTCGCGTTTCGACATCGGAGACAGCTGATTGATGAACATTTTTCTCGAGCCCGTAGATTCTGCGACAAGGGGGGTTAGGGGCTATGCACGTTCATGAAGTAACGATGTGCGTACGGTAAGAGAGAACAAGAATATGGAGATGGTGTAGCTTACAATTTCTTGAGATTGCTATATGCGATGTAATGGCTACTCCAATCAGGAACAGCATTGAACTGAATGCTATGGGAGAACTTCATCTCGTCTCGCTCGTCGAGCCAGCGTCTCTTCTCGTCCCTCTTAGCTTTTCGACGTTGTTCTCTGTCAGATGGTAGCTGCCTTAGTTCGTATGCCTCTCCAGATAATTCAGTCGATCCATTTATTTCAGCACTGCTCCCTCCTCTAGCCTCTGGCTCCGTCGGTACCTGGCCGGGATGGTGGGGAGCTTGTTGCGCGTGAACAAGGTCGCGGTAAGAGGAAGAGGAGGGGGTCACCAAGGAGTTTGGGGGTGATATGGTGGAAGTGCGGAAGTGATGAACTAATGAAGTGATAAAGTGATAAAGTGATGAAAAACAGTAACCGGAAAGTTTTATCTTTTAGGGTCCAACGTGGAAGGATGAAATCCGGGTTATGCGCGACGATCCACAACGGCACGCCTAGCCCAGCGTAAATATGGTTTTTTTTTTTTTTTTCGTTCTCTTCTTCCCACTTTATGACTGCGAGCCGGTTGCAATAGATAACATCACATAGGGAGTACTGATCACACACAGCCCATGCATGGGAGGTATTAATGAAGTAACGCTCCAAACACCCGATTAATGAGGAATTGACTACATTACCTAAAGCTAAAGAATCTTATGACCAAATGAGAGCCTTGTTCCATAGTGACCCACGTGCGGCTATGTACACATGTACCTGCTAAAGAGGTACATTAAGTAAGGTACCTAACCTAATATAGTACTAGGTACCGTACATTCGGTACCTGATATTTACCTAGGCAGGCCCTATATTAGGTAGGTAGGCGAAGCGGGTTAGTGGACTTCTTATGAAGAACTCAAAACTTCAAAGTACGTAACTCAGGTAAGTACGGTTGAACGTTCAAGTCAATAATAACAATAACCTTAAAAGCTATCAAAATTAATAAGATGTGATTTTAAACTTCTCAAAACAAATAACTTCACAATGGGCTTACTCGCAGCAGACGAGACCTCTCTTAACTCTCTGTCTCTCCCAATACGTGTACATGAAACTGCCTAGGTTAGGCACTTATCTTTCCAGTTTGGTGCGAGAATAAGGATCCCGTAGCAAACCACGTTACGTTGTTCGTTTGTTCGTTTGTGCGTTTGTGCGTTGCAGATGCCTCATCCCGTAGGCAGCCATTCCTTTCCTCATAGGGGCTTTGTGGTGAAACCAATCAAAAAACACCATAGATCATTATTCCGAACATCAACTGCGAATATCACTTTTACTACCTATGACAATACCTACCTATTGTGCAAATCCTTTTAAGTAGACCACCTCCATCCAACAATAAACCAGTCAAAATGCATCGACAATCTCGACAATCTCGAGAATTATATATTCGTCGTCGTAGACTAGCCGCCGAGGCCGGGCGGCAGCAGTTCGTCCCCTTCAAGTCATCGCCACAGGACCCGCACCCTTGTCGGAAGTAGATGTAGCAGGATTAGGTCGTCTAGCTTCTTTACCTAATGAGATCATCACGATGGTCTTCAACAACTGTAGCCTGCGTTCTCTCATGCGACTTGAACGCGTGAACAAGGCTGCCAAGAAGTTTGCGAGCCTTCTGCAAGATATCGATTACATCAGGAAAACAGTAAGGGGTATCATTCAACGTGCCGTGTCGCATTACCGCAAGTTCATATTCACCATCTTGAAGATCACAGCGTATCATGGATTAAGATATTTCTTGACTACTTTCACCTGCGAGACTTGCGGCAAGCCAGGATCATTCCGTATGATTAAAGTTAAGGTCCTCTGTGAGGATTGTCATGATTCAAAGAAGCAGCCAGGAACCGAATAAATTCTGTTATTGCAACCCCACGAACATCACGAGGGAGAAGGAAAATGGACATGGAAATTCTGGAGGGCCGAGGTTGTCATCCCACGGGGCGAGTCAACGGCAATGTTAGCAACGCTACAGATGCGTTAGCAAAACGTTCGGTAGTTAAGTTTATTGCTCTGTAATTTTCGTGGAGTCTGCTCAATGGGTACGCTGAGGCACGAGACTTGACTATTCACTAGGTAAAGACACATTAGACAAAGAACCCTTTTAGGCTATTTCAAATACAAGGTCCCTCGCTCAGTTTTGTTCGAGCTAGCGTAATTGGTATAAGATAGATATAAACATATCATGCGCGTGTCTATAAAGGACGTATCTAGCAAAGCGCCCAGCTATGCAGACAGCCCGTAGAACCAGAATAAGGGTTAGTTAGTTAGATAGAATAGTGACGTTTCTTGTCATATATGAGAGTGGATGAATACCTAAGGTATTCTCGGCTGTGAGCTTCTCAGCTTGTATAGTATTGCAGAGTAATTACAGATACCTGTTGCACAGGCAAAGTGCAGCTACAACAGCTCCACGCTGCCTTACTATAAACCAAACTAAGAGAAAACCCTATAAATAGAAAGATACAAGTGAAAACAATGACTTTCTATTCTTGAGGAAAAAAGTAAAAGGACCACTCAGGTACGCCAGAAGCTAGTAATTTGTCGAAACCAAAGGCTTCCGTAGACTTACATAGTAGACAAAAAGCGGGAGGAGATGGCATTATGAATATGATAAAGGAGAACTGAAGGAATCATACCAATCTCCCTTTCGCGTTGAATTATTCAAAGACTAGTCGGTTTTCGGGAATGTCTGAGGAAACAATCCCACGAGGGTAATTGTGAAGCTTGTGTAGATCTCCAAGTATATAAAATCCAACGAGATACCCAAATCTTTTCTTCATCACAACCAAAACGATAATACACACTGAATCATCACCAACATTTAAAACTCTCAAAGAAACAAGACCAGTTATTACCTGGAGTACCGAATATCAACAATGACAAACATGAAGAACACTAGGGCTACGAAAAAGCCGGCAACCCAAAGCAAGGGGCTTTTTGACTTCAGCGACACTGACAGCGGCCTCCACACGTCTGAAGGTTCCAGCTCGGGCGGCGGCTGCTCTGTTATGTAAGGAGCTACCAACCCGCGCTTTTCGAGAACACGAAATACGCTTATTAGGATGAATTTTGGAGGATAAACCGAGGGCTAGGCATCGGTGACATTCTTTGACCGTGCCTGAGGATATATATAGTTAGGAATTTCTCGTCACTCTTTATACGCATTCAATACAAACTCTTGTCGTTCTTAACAATTGAGAGAAGAAACAAAGTGAAATAGCAGCCGTAGAATCATCATATATTATGGTTATGTTATCTTCGTAATATTATTAATCATGAAGTATAGCAACCATACTTTCAAAGACCTTTACCTTAGAGCCACTTTACTCATTTATGTTAAGCCCTGGGTAGTCGTCGAGAGGCTTTGATGCGTATAATTCGTATGAACTCGATGTAGGGTTGTCAGATGGCTGTTACACCGCCACGCAGCCACGTCTTTTTCTATTCAAGACTGGTCCGACTCTAACGAGACTCGACCTTTAGGTATTCGTCGGAAATATGGAGTCTCTTAAACTACCTAGGTACCTATACCCAGTTACCACTTAGGCCATTACGGTTATGGCTGCAGCAGCTCCTATGCGTGGCACCGCATGAATTGTGCAGATTTATGAGGTCTGATGACCGCATTATGCAGAGGGGCACCCTCTCGATTGACAGGGACTGGATAACAGTTGTCGTTGAGGAAAGTCGGTCAAGATAGAGGTGAAGGATGGAGCATATAAAAGAATGCAAGACACCCGCCCCTGTCGGTCCAGATCTGGACTCTTTAGTAGTTTGTAAATCTATAAGATAGCTTGTGAAAGCACAAGTTGTTTGTATACCACATTTGATGCTGGGTAGAAATTAGGTAGTGTAGGTGAGAGGTGGGAATAATATATTGTACAATACAATAATACCTACCTCCTAGGTAGGTACCTAACATTGGAAGTAGCCTCGGTGCGATGCCAAAAGGCAAAAAGCAATATCTCCGTCATTTGGATGCGTTGGCAAGACTTAAAAACGACAGGGATTAGCTGCAAACTAGTGCACTATATTTATCTGATCCCTGCATGCATCAAGTCCCGCGAATGGTTTGCTAATGGTGAAAAGTGCGGAGGTAAAATAGTTTTTTTTTCTTTCTCTTTTTCCTTTTCCTTTTCCTTTTTTTCTTTTTAACCTTCTATGCTCGTCAGACTCGCCCAACCTACCTGTACCTCTAATATTAGTTACGTTTAGGTACGTTTAATTAATATATCAGATGTACCTATGCATGTATAACTTAGTGCATGCATGATCGAGTACCTACCTACCTAATGTACTTAGGTAGGTAAAAAATTAATAATGCATGGGATGGACGGACCAGCTTGTTCCTGTCCAATCGATCGATACAATGCCGCATTAGGCGAATCTATCTCTCAATGTTCCTTTCCCCAAGAATTTCCCAAGAAAAGAACCGTCCCCCTCCCCCTTCCTGTCCACCCCCAAAACGACCCATCTCCAAATCTGCAGACGGAACCGAGAATTCCTTCATATTTTCCAGCCACCCTGGCCACCTTAGAAAATACATATAATGATACAAGTCATATCTCCTAGCTTAAGCCTATACCTTAGGTACCTAAGGTAAGCTACCTAATATATTACTCTGCTTAGAGGTTACATGCTTTATATTCGGCAGCCTTTTACCCCACCGCACCGTCCATCGAATATAAGATAATGATTGGCCGTTGCTGGGTTACCGGTGATACTCCTGCGACTTGCGTGACGGCAGTAATGCGTAATGCAAGGTCGGAAGCCCATCGTCTACTGACAGTAATCCCTAGCGAAACAGAATGCGGGAGTGACTCTATCGCAGCGTCGTACACCCGCCCGTAAACACGTATTGTATATACCACCATCACCTCACTGATTCGTCTGGGTTTACTACGTCTCCTGGGGGCTGCTCCGGATATTTTGATATCTTTGATAAGCGCTGCCTACCTCATGTACTATGTCCTTAGGTACCTATGTAGAGGTAGGTACCTATGTAGAGGTAGGTACCTATGTAGAGGTAGGTACCTATGTAGAGGTAGGTACCTATGTAGAGGTAGGTACTTATGTACTGACTTAATTGTTTTTCTTTGGTGGGGACCTAGCCGTCAACGGTACTAACCGTTTCTGGTACAGAACTGATTCAGGTCCCTTGACCTAGGCCTATAGGCCTAAAGTTACGCACATGAACAATTGCGGTCAAACGAGGGTTTAAGAAATTAAGCCAGATCCAGCGACTCCTGTTGCCATAAATTAGGACGACATCTTAGCCCATTGCTAATGAAGATTACTAACTTATTGACCAGAGCAGGCCTGAACAACAACTTGCTTATTCCACGTTCCCTTGACACAGTGTAACCCGCAAGGTACGAGAGGGGTTAGCCGTACCTATACTTCCGGTGTGCGGCTAGCCGCGTACTTGGCGAGTGGAACGCTGTGGATTCGACCAGGATTAAAAAAAAGGCGTACAAGGGTGGATGCATGTCAGTGGAGCACTTACGCTTGTCCTGGGCGCACAACTCACAAGCTCCCGCCCGCACCCCCCCCATTCACGTAAAGCTCTGAAGCAAATCTAAACAATCCGAACCCTTGTTAGATGAAAGCTGGGCTGCCATACAGCCCCCATACAGCCCCCAGCTCAACAGACCAAGTTTAAGGGGGGTTTTAACTGAACCAAGCAGTTCAAGGAAGGTCTAGCGAAAAAAAAAAAAAAAAGAAGCACCACAAAGCTGTGCACTGCGCGCTTGTGTACCTGTTATATGGGTTTGTGTGAGACTGTGCTTCTTTGGATTGTTAGGTCAAGTGAGAATCTTTCTGTCCAATTTTTTTTTTTCTTCTTTTCGACTCTTGCGCTTCTTTGACTTACTGTAAACGCCTGTCTCAAACCTTACTGCTTTACCACTTCTCTTGCCGAGAGCCAAAAGAAGAAAAGTGGAAGAACACCATTTTCGCGTCGATGTTGTCATCCTCTTTTTATCTCATTTCTATCCTAGATTTATTTTATGCCACTTCATGAGAGAGGCGCGCTGAGTTTAAGATACACGTCAGTGGGTAGCAACGAGGAGAAAGAAGTAGAGGAGAGCCCAGAAATCCTGGCAATATTTTCCCCCCCTCTACCCCCTTTCGCGACGGGGAATACTCGAAGGTGTTTTTGGAGCTGGTACTACTTCTGCTGGTGGTCTCTTAGCTCACTCTGCCTAACGTGCCTATCCTACTGCATCATCTCCATACCTACCTAAGCACTAGGTAGGCCCAGAAAAAAAAAAAAGCCGTTAGGCGGTCATGGATTCGAGACAGCCGCCGCCATCACAACTTCCTTTTGCTCGTAATGCCGCATCACCACCAATTTATGGTCGATCACCTTTCCCGCCCACTCCGAACTCGGCTCCGGCGGTAACAACGACTACGCCATTTCATCCGTCGAATACCGTATCTGCCGGCCCTACCGCGTATAGTGAACATCAGCGACGCCCATCAGACACGGGTCCCTTCTACCCGCAACAGAGACCACCGGCCTATGCGCCCGATTCCGCGCCACATCCCGCACCTACTCACTCGCGACACCAAAGCTCGTCATCTATTAATGCTTCTTTGACACGGAATATGCCTCCTCCCTCGTCCCCTCAGCATCCCAACCAACAGCCTCCTCCGCATCCACACCAAATGGGTCACTATAGTGGTCCGCCCGCACCGAGAGCTCCGCCGGTGAGTCTTGGTCCTCCAGGTGCTTTTCCTTCCGCTCGTGAGCTTCCTGCGCTCAACTCGATACCGCGAACGGGAAGTACGGGAGGGAGCATGTCAATATCGTCGATACTAGGAGGTCCTCCTCCGGCCTCACGTGAACTAACACCTGGTCATCCAGCTTCTTTCCAGCCTCCAGTTACCACTTCCGCCGTTTCGGGCCCGGCGTATGCTGCACCAGTTCACGCGTCGCCTAGGATGCAGCCTGCGAATGAATACGCTGCTTATAATAGGAGACCTCAAACACCAGATCAAGGTAGACCTTTTGATACGAGAGATCCTAGAGGCGCCGCTGTTGGGTCCCCCCCGCAGGGCATATATGGAACCCCTGAATTGTCCCGATATAACACTCCCCAAGCATACCAACCGCGTGGCCCACAGATGCCACCAGCCGACGATAGAAGGGAGCAGCCGGGTCGGATTTCCGCCACTAACTTACCCCCAAGACCAAGCAGCCAGCCAAGGTCTTATCATGGTATACCTCCGAGACCTGCAGATCTGGGAAGGGGCCCGCCTCCTGGAGAGCCTGTTTATGGTAGACGAGAAGAGACGCGGCCTCCTGGCCCGGCGGGGTACGACCCAGAACGACAGCCCCGAACCATGCCATACGAAGAGCAACGTCGATTCGTTACGGATCGTGAAGCAGAATTCCAGGAGAGGGAACGAAGAGAAAGAGAAAGAATGCACTATGAAGAGCAGCGCGCATTCGTAGCTAATAGGGAGCGGGAAATCGAGAGAGAGCGAGAAAGGGAAAGAGAAAGAGAGAGGGAGAGGGAAATGGAAATACGCGAAAGAGCCAGGAGAGAAAGAACTACATCTGACCCGAGTCGCCCACATGGCCAACACCCTGCCGAGCTTGGGCCCCAAGTGCTTTCGCGGCAACCGCCTTATGGAAGATCGGATCCCCGAGAGGCAGCGGCCTGGCAGCGGCCTGGATATGATCAAGGACCCCCAAGAGAGCCATATAACCAGCAATACTCCGGCCCGCGACCGAACGAATTCCCATCTACTACCGCAGCGCCGTATGGAACGCATCCTGCTTTTGCGCAATCTCCCCATGAACGTTTTCCAGCTACAGGTCAGCCTCCTCACGTGATACCTGCCAACCAGCCAGGTTCTCAACCTACGCATCCTTTCGAGTCGCCTGATAGGCATCGTTTTATCCAGGCTCATCCTCATCCCCATCCCCACCCCCACCCCCATCCACATCCCCAGCAACAACCACCGCCACCGGCAACTCATAGAGGTAGGCCAGTCGACGATGTTCCCCCTCCGCCTTCAGTAGCATATAGCAGCGGGCCAGGTTCTATGTTCGAAGTGAGTCGATCGCGTCCTCAGGACGATGGCCCTGCTCCAATCGGTCATCAGCGTACTTTTCTCGGTGTCCAGGAAATCAACCGCAAAGGACGAGTTTCTCCGCTGCCGCAAGCAGTTCAAGGAGCGCAACCTCAATTGCAAGGACCCGCCGGTGAGCCTGGGATCAAGAGTGAATTCGGCCGCATGTTCTCCGGCATAGGAAGCGGTGTTCGCGGTATCGGTGTCTCTAGTCCAGTGCCATCTGGCATGCAACCCCAGTTCTCAAATTCAGGTGCTCTTCGGCGTGACGAAGAGCATCCTAGCCATGAATTACTTGCAGACGGTCCTGCGAAGCCGAGAGGGAAACGGAGAAAAGCAAAAGATGAGGATAGTAAAGGCGATGAGGATAGTAACGGTCGAGCTACGCCAGTTGGCCGAGCTAAACGCCCAAAAACCCACGCTCATCATCACCATCACCAGTAAGTCACAGACTCTCATACTCATGTGCTTCAACCGATATTCATTGTAATATTTTCTAGTCATCATCATCATCACCATCATGGACCGGAAAGAGCCCCCTCGCCCCTTCAAGCGGCAAGTGGACAGCTTAAAAGCCTTAAAACTAACACGCCTATACCTTCTCCCACGCGCAAAGACTTCACCGCTCCTTTCACTCACCATCATCAACCTCCGAGATCAACGCCCGCCCCGACCTCGAAGATGGCGGCACCTGGTCCGACTATTATCCCCAAACCGAAACATAAAATCTCGTCTCAGGCGGTGCTTGATAGCATCGCAGACCGACCACGAAAGCATCTGGGCGATGTCGTGTACCAGGTAACTTTGAAGCCTACTAAGTTGGAGTCATCCCATGGCAAATTTGGTTATGTGTCGAACCCGCGCCCCCTGCCAATGGACCTGATCAAGGGTAACGAAAATTCTACCCTGACTGTCAAGATTCCTCGTGTGCACCTGAGCCCGTCTGCTCGCGAGGAGATTACATCCCGCCGAGCTGTTTGGGGAACTGACATTTATACGGACGACTCGGATATTGTTGCTGCATGTATTCATGCTGGCTGGATTCGAGGCGAATGGGGCGAGGACGTTGATATCGATCTGCTTGATCTTTATAAGCCCACGGCTTCGAAGAAGCAACGTGCGACACCTGCTGAGCAACATCTCGAGGTACTAACTTCGCCCCCAGCCTCGGGTCCGGTTTGGGTACCTGCTGATCGTGACTTACATGTTACTGTCCTTATTCTACCAGCCCTTGAGAAGTATAGTAGCTCAACGCGCTTCGGCATCCAGAGCCGCGAATTCGGAGGGACCTACAACGGGCGTAAGTCGATTCATGATGGGATTAGCTTTATGATCCTAAGCGTGCGCTGGGTGGACGGTGCGGCGCCACAAAGCAGACTTCGCGGCAAGGCGCGTAGGGAGCGAATTAGGAAAGCTATGAGCGAAGTCAACAGGAGCCAAGTAGTGGACATAGGGGAAAGGGAGGTTTTGGGTAGGACGGCCGTAGCGAGGGATCCTCGTGCCAGCAAAGATAGGAGTACTAGGAGGACAACCGACGGCACCAGAGACGGTAATAAAGAGAATCGGCCCACAGCCGCGCCGAACGGTAACGTTCTTGCATCGGGTCAAGAGAGACCTCGTGTAGATACGAATCTGGACGGTAAGGATACGGACAAGAATCGATCAAGGAATGACCAAAGCGCAAGGACGATGGATGCCACTACGACTGCTGATGCTGGGGAAGACGCAGCAAAACGTGGGTCGAGCGAGCCTATGAAAGTTCCTATGTAGCGTTGAGCTAAGATCATATCAATGCTTGGGGATCGAAGAATAGCTGGATTCATTTTGACCGTCACTTCACGGGCGGGTTTAAACCTGACGTTAAGTAAACGAGATATAGATAGGAGAGATTCTGCCACAGTGCTGATCATTCTTCTACATTCCTTACTCTTGGCGGGTTTTCTAAGATAGCTTAGGCGCTTATCTGGTCGTGGTTACTTCCGTCTTGACCTAATTACCTTATAGCATAGCGCGGAGTTGTGAGTATGAAAAGTGTCATGATAGAAAACACAATCGTCCGATGTCGCGCTAGTTACTATATCCGTCCTTGTGTATTAAATCACTAATTTACATAGACACATCTCCACAGCGAATCCCGTCTATATAATTCTACAATCTCTTGCCAATCGAACAGTCTAGACTATCATATAGTTTCGGACATTCTCTAGTATCGAATTTCTTAGCTTAGCCATGATCGAAGTGAATGATGCGTAAATTGGGTGGCGGCTGACCAACTGCGAGCGGAGGAGCGAAGGAGGTAAATATTAGGTTAGGTACCTAGCCTGACCCGTCCTCGTTCACCTGTATAGGTTAACTTTAGGTAGTCGATAGAGAGGTCGTACTAAACCTGATTCTTACGAGTCGGGTTATCTTGCTTTGATGACTTCTCCCAGAGGCCGAACCCGTGTGTATTGTGTTATCAATGCCAGGCGTTAGAAGTCTGTAACCCGGCCATTGAAACTGTAATCACCAGAAGGTCCCCAGCGTAGAGGCTCGTTCTTGGGCCCGCCGACCTCTCCCGTCTTAGGGTTGACGTCGCCTTCAAATTCAGGCGGCGCACCCTTCCGAAGAGGCCCAGACGCGAAGTCGTCTTCGACGGCCGGTGCGCTCTGACCCACAGCCGAGGAGGAAGAAGCTGCGGCAGAGGAGGCGGGGGCGAGGGGAGAGCTGAAGTCCGGGGACGAAGTCGGGTTGAAACCTTCTTGGGTGTTAGCAGTGCGTTGCAGCCGCTCAAATTCGGCCTGCTGTTCGGGTGGGAGGCGGGGTGGTGAAGGCATGGATTGGAAGGGATTAGAGTTGTTGGATGCTTGACGTTGGTGTCGCAAAGGAAGAAGCGCTGCCATTTGAAGGCGATGGGTGCGCCCGTATGCGTACGGACGGGCAATTTGAGTGAAGCGGATGAGGTGAGACGCCATCGAGAGGGTATTTATTTGATCTTACTCTCGTAAAGTTCCAAGAATATAACCGTCTAACCTAGGAATGAGGGTATTATTTGTAAAGCTTGTGGCAATCAGGACTTAGTCCATAATCAGGATATGATGTAGAGGATCAAGTCTTGTCTGGGTAGGTGCATATATATGCAACTAAATACTATATGCATATGAGAGAGCACTCCATGCCAGCTTGAACCCGTATTTGCTTCGGTATTGATTCTTAGCTCCCTAGATACATACATAAAAAATTGAGCACTTAACATTCTAATCCTCGAAGATGATTCATCAATAATAAAAACGTTATGAATTTAGAACCGGACAAGAACAAAAAAAATAAATGAACAACAATAATAAAAACGAGCTCAGCAGGGATCGAACCTGCAATCTTCAGAGAGCGAAGAACCAAGATGGAACCGAAATCTGACGCCTTACCATTAGGCCATGAACCCTACTAGTGACGCTATTGACGTTGAGAATAATGGGTTGTAAACTAAGTCTATATCGATTCTCTTTCTTTCTTTCTTTTTTTCTTATTCAAAAAACGGTGTTTGCTAGGTGTTGTGCGGTGGGCCTCTCTCAACCTAACATTGTGTTAGTTAATAAAACTCACGTACGAAGTATATATCACAACAAGACCAAGTAAACCTTCACATAGAGGTATTATTTCAGATATTTGGAGAAAAAAAAAAACTGATACGTGCATAAGATACTGGATTAGGTACCTACATACGGTACTTTTATTTATACGACAAGTACATGATCAGGTACATGGGTGTCTCGGATATGTTCTTGGTATGTACATAGTACATACGTACGGAGGAGGTTGAGTGGCGCTTTATGACTCAATCGATCTGGTTGGTCCCTTGCATTTTTCCCCCCTAGTGCAGCACTGCATCCTGAGGTCTTTACAAGGGATCCACCCGTTGGGCTGGGTACCGGCAGGCAAGGATATTAGATACATGTACAGAGTACATTAAGCAAAGTGGGATGGCGGGGTCGAGACGAAATGATTCACCCCTCCGATTATCGCCTTAGAGAAATATCCGTATATGAAAAATACTATATGAAAAATACTTACCTAGGTACATATAAATGCTTTCTTTACCTGTACCAAACATACCTACACCTACCTTACCTAGGTATCCATTTCAAAGGCACCAACCCTCGAGAGCTCAAGAAGTTCTTCCTTTTTGACTCATCATAACTCCACGTCCAGTCGTCCCTATAAAGAGTCAAATACCTTATCTCTACGAGTTATCTACGTCTCTCGCTTTTCCTTTCAGTTCAGCACCAATTGACTCGGCGGTCTGAGCAACATGGAGGCTATTAAACAGACGTTCAGGCGCTGCAAGGCAGAGAAGAGGGTACGGCTTGACCTATCCTCTGCGCATTTCTTCCACGAAAAATTCCTTATTTTATTTGGCTGATCACTGTATATAGGCTGCCTTGGTAACATATGTCACTGCCGGTTATCCCAAGCCCGAGGACACTCCTGATATTTTGATAGGAATGCAAAAAGGTGGCGCTGGTACGTTGTGGCAAACAAACCGACTTGGGATATACTCGAGTGATACGTAGTAACCATCTGAGCTAACAAAATTGTAGATGTTATCGAGCTTGGTGTGCCCTTCACAGACCCAATTGCCGACGGCCCGACTATCCAGACCGCAAACACCGTCGCTCTCGCCAATGGTGTTACTATCAAGTCTACCCTCGGCATGATTCAAGACGCCAGGTCCAAGGGATTAACTGCACCGGTTCTGTTGATGGGTTACTACAATCCCCTGTTGAGTTACGGCGAAGACGAACTTCTACGAGATTGCCAAGAGGCTGGCGTTAATGGCTTCATCGTTTGCGATCTGCCTCCTGAGGAAGCCGTGTCCTTCCGAAAATTATGTGGCAAGGGAGGTTTATCATACGTGCCCTTGATTGCGCCCGCGACTTCTGATACCCGTATGCGACTCCTATGCGCCCTGGCCGATTCTTTCATATATGTCGTATCCCGCATGGGCGTAACGGGAGCCCTAGGTACCCTCAACGCCAACTTGCCCGACTTGCTCGAGAGAGTTAAGAAATATAGTGGCGATAAGCCAGCCGCCGTCGGATTCGGTGTATCGACGCGGGAACACTTCCAATCTGTTGCTTCCATCGCAGATGGCGTCGTCATAGGTTCTCAAATCATCACGATTTTGCAGAAGGTCGAGGACGGTAACGGTGCCAAAGCTGTTGAGGAGTATTGCGCCTATGTGAGTGGACGGACAACCCAGGAGACAACCCGAGAAGTTGGTGTAATTGAGGCTATCAGCGCAGCCAAAGAGCCTAGCGGCGATGACGTGACAGTCAACGGCGTAATTACGGAGCATGACGATGCTGCCTTGGTAGCTCAACTTGCTGCGCTTCATGGAAAGATTCCCGAGCGGTTTGGCGAGTTTGGCGGCCAGTATGTGCCCGAGTCCCTTATGGACTGTCTATCCCAGTTGGAGGACGGCTTCAATGCCATAAAAGACGACCCTAAATTTTGGGAGGAGTATAGGTCCTACTACCCGTGGATGGGCCGGCCAGGCCAGCTGCACTTAGCAGAACGGCTCACAGAACATGCTGGTGGCGCTAATATCTGGTTAAAGCGGGAAGACTTGAATCATACCGGATCTCACAAGATCAACAACGCCTTAGGGCAGCTTCTATTAGCAAGGCGACTGGGAAAGACGAAGATTATTGCCGAGACCGGCGCTGGACAGCACGGTGTGGCAACGGCAACAGTATGCGCCAAGTTTGGCATGGAATGTACAGTCTTCATGGGTGCCGTAAGTTCTACCTTTTCATGGGAATCTAGCTTTCACTTGCAGCATAGCTTACGATATGGTACAGGAAGACGTTCGTCGTCAGGCATTGAACGTATTCCGAATGCGGCTTCTCGGTGCCAAGGTCGTTGCCGTCGAAGCTGGCAGCAAGACTTTACGAGACGCTGTCAACGAGGCGCTCCGCTATTGGGTTGTCCACCTCGAGGACACTCACTACATCATAGGATCAGCGATTGGCCCTCACCCTTTCCCTACAATTGTGAGAACCTTCCAGTCAGTCATCGGCAATGAGACGAAGGCGCAGATGTTAGAAAAACGAGGGAAGCTGCCTGACGCCGTTGTGGCTTGCGTCGGTGGAGGGAGCAATGCAGTTGGCATGTTCTACCCTTTTTCGAATGACCCTAGCGTTAAGCTTCTAGGCGTCGAAGCCGGTGGTGATGGTGTGAACACCAAGCGTCACTCGGCTACGCTTACAGGAGGCACCAAGGGTGTTCTACACGGCGTCAGGACGTACGTGTTGCAAAATGAGTTCGGACAGATCTTAGATACGCACTCGGTCTCAGCTGGTTTAGATTATCCCGGCGTTGGTCCCGAATTATCGTCCTGGAAGGATTCGCAGAGGGCCAAGTTTATTGCCGCTACTGATGCCGAAGCATTCATCGGCTTCAGACTTATGAGCCAGCTGGAAGGCATTATACCCGCGCTCGAGTCGGCCCACGGCATTTACGGAGCTATCGAGCTAGCCAAGACAATGAAGAAGGATGAGGATATTGTTATCTGTCTTAGTGGAAGGGGTGATAAGGACGTACAGAGCATCGCGGAGGAGTTACCTAAATTAGGTCCTCAGATCGGATGGGATTTGCGTTTCTAAGGAATGAGAGTGGTTTTGTAGGTTCGATCTAGAATCGAAATTTGGGTGAATCTCTCAAGACTCGGCGTTAGCTGGCGTAAGGGGTCGCTAAAAAAGTTAGATAAAAAAACATTCTATGATTATACATAGTACCTAATTTCGGCGACATATAGATGTGTATTTAAATGCATTTAGATGCATTTTTGGTTTATAAATTTGATATACACTGTGTGCAATGCAATGCCGTATCCTCCGTATCTAATCTCTTTACCTTTGCGCCGTGTGGCGCACAAGTCTTCGAGGTGTTTTCATACCTTAGGTGCTTTATCGTCGCCTTCGGGTTTATCTTCTTCTATGGTGTACTCAGGGTTTTTGGCAGCTTCACTGACTTCGCTGGCTTCAGCGGTTTCCTTAGCTTCTCTAGCCTCTCCTATCGCCTCACCATCTTCCTTAATAAATACAGCCTCGTCATCCTTTACCTCGCCTATAACAAATTCATCACCACGCTCTAACATTGCGTCAACCTCACTCAGAACGGCGTCAGACGTGGCACCGTCGGCAACCAGTTCACCAGGAAGAGTTTCCTGGCCCTCTTCCTTAGGAGGCAGACCCAAAGCGGCGCGCTCGCGGGCGAAACGCTCGCGTATGGCGGGAGTTTGCATGATCTTCCAGCGGAGAGCCCAGCCGGCGGGACCTAGGTCCTTGATGCGGCGAGCCTTGGAGCCGAGGAGATACTCATCGATACCGCCGAGTCGGTCTATCGTCTTGAGGACGTTGGTCGTCAGGCGGGTACGAATAAAGGCACCCAAACTCGGCGACCACAGGCGTTTGGTGTGGCGGTTGGGAAGCCAGGAGGTGCGAGACTTGTTACCGTGATCCGGGGCTACCACATTACCAAACCGGATCTTGGACCCCGCGAAGAGACCCTCGTTAGCCTGCTTATACGTCCGGAACCGGCCGTACGGGTACTCGGGCACCTGGTCCACGGGTACGGTCAGGTGAGAGGGCTTTTGCCGGTGGCAAGGCGAGGCGATGCTGAAAGCGCGTATTATTGTCGTGCTAGGAATCGGTATTCTCTGGGAGGTGGTGGAAGAAATGTGGGAGGTAATCGAGGAGATGCAGCACGGCGAGGGCGCCGAGAGTCGTATTGGCGCCATCTCGTTGGCCGAATGTTTCGATAGCGACACTTATACGCGGAGTTAGGCTACCACGGCGGCATAAATGATTTGAGGGGGGCCAATGCCGTTGCTTCGGCGGTAAAAATTGGTAGGGAATTTGGTGGTCGAGGGGGTTTCGAGGATGTTTCGAGGAGGTTAAGATATCGACATAGAAGATTTGCAAATACCTGTTTAATTCAATATGTTCCATGTATGGCTTACATACATAGTACCTACCTACCTAGGTACTTTAATCATACAGGTATCAAGATGTGTGTGGGTACCTAACTTTAATACGGCCAATTGAAGGAAAAGTAAAAGTCATGTGGCACCGCTCCACGTTCGCGATTATCTTCTTTCTTATCGACCGCGGGGTTCACTGCTGGGAGCACGGTTGACCTTACCCATGTACCTCATTAGTAGGTTAGGCAGGTACTCATGCATCTACAAAGCTTCGATAATTCAGATTACATTATGCTTAGGTTAGGTACCTTACCTAAGGTACCTAAGGTACAATAAACTTTAACAATGTCAATTTAACAACAACTTACTTACCTCTTACACACCTTCTGACTCTACATCCTGCATATACAACAAAATACGATCACAATGCTTCCCCCCCTGGATGAGGCCGTCCTCAAGCAGAACCCAGACTTCGATCGTCTCTACAAAACTCTCACCACCTCGCTTCTCAACCCAGACGGGTCGACCCGGAGCAACGATCCGGCAGCTAAGAAACGGGAAGCTGTACACAATGTGCGTTTAAAATCACGACAATCCAAGTTAATTGACCAATGCTTATCATAGCTAGGAACTCAGAGCCTACCGTCTCAAGGCCACGAAACAGCATCTCCTCCGCCGCGCGATAGCAGCAGCAGCTAGCCCCGAACCGAGCAGTAGAACGAACGCGAACAGCAGCGCCGCTTCATCTAAGCTACAACCACCACAACAAGACCTATCTCAGCCTAATCGACGGACAAGACCAAGGCCTCAAACACAGACGTCTACACAAACTCAGGCCCCTCCTGCCGAGATTCTCGATTTACTACTCCTACTACCGCCCTTCCTCTCCAATCCCACCTCTTTATCGCCCTCCGCGCTAGCTCTACTCCTTTCCCGTCCGCCATTCTCCGATCTTCCTTCTCTATTCCCTCTCTTGACCGCCACCATCTCTACCACGTTATCTCGTCAAGCCGGCTCGCTAGCTCGTGTGCTCAACCCGCATACCAACCCCTCTTATATCCACCGCTCTGTCCCCGCCCTCGCGTCAACAACTACCGCCTTGCTATCCACTATATCAAGCTCCTCTCTGGCGCTATCGCTCGCCCGCCAGCGCGCTGCTTACGACTTAGCGTCCCACCTCTCACAACACGCGGCGATCATAGCCCAGCTCGTCCGCGTGCTCGAGTCCAAACATGGCCCCGCCGCGCGATCCGCTGAGCTGCGCGCGGAGGAAGCCAACCTCTCCGTGCGCGCTTGGACTCTCGCTGCCGAGGCCTTGCTCTGGGACGCTCGACGTACCGTGTACCCGCCCGAGGCTAGACGCGCTCTGATTAATTATAAGCGGCACTTGGGTAACGCGCGGATGCGCCTCGCTGACACCTTACGCATGCGCCAGGTAGAGCTTGAAGACTACGGCGTAACACCCGCCGAGAATGGGGGCCACGGCGACGTTGGAGAGCAGAGCAATAAAGAGCGGACGATGCGTGAGATGGCGAGGGTGTGGCGCGAGATGGAATCACGGCTTCACGAAGTAAAGGGAGACCTGGATCGACTAAGATAACCGATTCATCCAGCCGAGCAACCCGTTACGCACTCTCCCCCCCCCTCTCTCTCTCCCCCCTACTTTTCTTTTAATCATGGACATGATGAATACCCTAAGACCTTGTTATTTTATGGATGAAGAGAGCTAGTAATGAATTCTATTTGCGTAGATATCTAGTGGTGATATTTGTATCACAAGCATCTGCTGTCTACCATTCGCCGATTCGCGAGATAGTGAGATAGTCCTGGTAGATGCAAAAGACAGGAAAAGGGGAAAGGCCCAGCAGAAATGTATTAATCAAAGATACAGCTCCATCATCATCCAGGAGTATCGCAATGAACAGGTATATTTTTTCTTTTCATAACCCGAACCGTCCATTAGGTCATTCGTCTATTTCGTACCGTCGTACCGGGCTGGCTGCTTTTCAACCTTTCCCCCTTGAAATATTTACATCGTACAAAACGCTCCCTTTATGCGAAATTTCCACCATTCCCCGCTTAAATAAGAAGAGACGCCGACTTAACCCTTGACATTGTAGATAGCCTCGGCTAGGCGTCCGACGTTGTCGGTTGTGATGCCAGCAACGCTGATACGGCCATCCTTTGTAGCATACACGCTATGCTCCTTAGCTAGCTTTTCCATCGAGGCGGCATCGAGACCGGTGTAGGCAAACATGCCAATCTGCGACGTGATATGGCTCCAGTCATGAGCACTACCGAGCTTCTCCAGGTTTTCTTTGAGAAGAGCACGCATGGAAATGATGCGGTCAGCCATGCCCTTAACTTCGCCTAGCCACTGCTTGTTGAGGGCTGGGTCGTTGAGGATCTCGGATGCAATGCGTGCACCATGTAGCGGAGGGTTCGAGTACAGGGGTCGGATAAGGATCTTGATCTGAGACTCGATGCGCTTCTTTTCCTCAGGCGAGGAGGCGAGAATAGAGAAGGCACCTACACGCTCTCCGTAGAGACCCTATTTTTCACCCACGTTAGTCTACTTAGGCTGCTTCGGATCAGCAAAAAGTAGGATAGCTAACATACCATGTTCTTGGCAAAGCTTTGTGCCAGACAGATGTCGTGGCCCTGTTCGACGAAGTGTCGCACGGCGAAGGCATCCTTGTTTGTATCACCACTGGCAAAACCCTGGTAGGCCATGTCGAAGAAGGCGTAATGACCCTGAGCCTTGACAGCATTGCTAATCTCCTTCCACTGCTCGGGAGTAGGGTCAACGCCGGTGGGATTGTGAGCGCAGGCGTGGAACAGGAAGATGCTTCCCTTGGGGGCGGCCTTGATATCCGCTAGCATTCCTTGAAAATCCAAACCAATGGTGTTTTTGTCATAGTAGCGGTACTGCTCGACCTTGAGACCGGAGTCGTTGAAGACTGCCTTGTGGTTGGCCCACGAAGGGGTTGGGATGTAAATGGTCTTGTCACCCGGGTAGAAGCGGGCTAGGAAGGCGGCGGCGATGCGCAGAGCTCCAGTACCGGAGATGGACTGAGTGATGACCAGACGCTCGAGGGCAGGCGAACCTTTACCATAGGCCAGCTCGGCGGCAGCCTTGGTGAACTCAGGGAGACCAGTAATACCAAGATATTCCTTGTTTAGGCGTTTTGAGACGATCTTGTCCTCGGCGGCACGGACGGAGGGGAGCACGTAAGGCTTGCCTTGGTCATCTCGATAGGCACCAACACCTAGAGACAGCTGTCAGCTTTCGTGGTTTTTTGGGGGGGGACTAAAGGAGCGCAAATAGAAAACCCAAAGGGAAAGGGGGTTTGGTGTACCTAGGTTAATCTTCTTCTCGAAGGAGTCGGCCTTGAAAGCTTCACTGATACCTATACAGTGTAAGTAGAACTTTCTCTAGCTAGCTATAAAATATTGGTATTAAGAGAGGTATATACCAAGGATGGCCTAGTGAGCAGCAGTAGAGGAGCTTTGGGTTAGTCATTCGCCATTTAACTAAAAACAAGGCCTTTACGAATCCGAGATAAATCCGTAGCAAAGACGGCGAAACTCACATCCTACATCCGATCCATTGTTAGCATTTGTTAATTTATTTCCTTTTTATATATATATGAAATGAAATGAAACGTATAATTTCAATTTAAGTAGCAGCATGGGGACAATAAAGGTGACATACGGGAGGACCTTGAGGCACATTAGCCCAGGTAGACCCAGCTCTTGCAGCTTGGAAGGTGATAGCAGAGGCCGGTCCTCGACGGGCTGCGGCTCGGCGAGTGGCGATGCGAAGTGCTGGAAGCATGATGATGAAAGGGAGGTATTTGGCAGGGGAAGGGGAGACGAAAAAAAAAACTTAAAACAAAAACAAAAAAAAATTTCAGGTTTCACAACCGACAGACACTTAAAAGCCTGGAGTCTGAAGTCTGAAGTCTAAAAAATAAGTCGGGAAAAAGGACTTGGTGTGAGTAAAATTTATGTGGTTTTAAGAAAGTCGTCGAACGATGTCGGATCCTAATTGAGACAAAAATTAGCTGATTGAGAATTAGCTTAGAGTTAAGGCTGCTTTGTTGCAGTGCAGCTACAGGTACATAAATGCTGCTGACTCACAGACGTTTACCAACCCGTTCCTTCCCCAGATTTTTTTTTTTTTCTCTTTTGCTGCTTAATGCCCGACTTTTATTAGCGCACCAATGCTATTTCCCCAGTCAAGACCCATAGCTCCGAATCGGCTCATTCCCGGTTGATCAACCAAGCCCCCGTTCCCCGTTTCCCCGTTCCTCCCCCACCCGTTCCCCCGGTTAGGTACTTTCTCCTTTATCAGATCCGAATAGGCCGATGCCTGAGCGTTGATTTATTCTATTATATTCTACTTCGTATGTACGCAAATAACCCATCAAGTATAAAATGCATTCTACCATGTCTCATACGAAGAACAAAATTCCTCAATGCGCTATCCTCGCTTCAGAGATTCCCCATATACTTTCACATTTACTCCCCCTCTCTAACCTTTTCCCTGTCTTGTGATTGCCATCGTGATCTCTCCCACCTACCTGTTCGATGCCCATTTAATCATCTACTGCAATCGAGCTTCTCTCGCTGAAAAACGTGTATCGTTCCGAGTGACCTGGTGGGAGGGGCCACTGTCGACTATCCCAAACGTCGCCATCCCCATCAAAAATAGAGGCCGGGATAACAGGACGACTTGCATCTCCCCAGATTGAGTTTTGAACTGTATCGGCAACCGAAGTTCTTGACTTGTCAGTGTCGTCTCGTTCTTTGTGGGACGCAGTGCTCTCTGATGGTGGCGTTTCTAATTCTCGATTTGGTATTTTTTCGATGTCGCTTTGCCTCTGCCGCCGCCGTATCACACAGCAACGTATTGCTACCGGGAGCACGATTAGGAATGTCACCGCGACTACTGCTGACGCGATGATGGCTATGATCCGCCCTGTGCTAAGGCTAGGCTCGCTCGACGACATATCAACGTGAGGTTTCTTTTCATCCGGCCTTTAACGTCACGGTGCTTCAAAACGCCAGTCCCGAAAAGCTGAGAGTAATGGTTAAGTGTATAGCAAAATGGTGAATTCGCTCTCCTCTCGAAGTAATCTAATTTCGTCCAATGGAGTAGCAAACCTGGTCTTGCTAGTCGAACCGGGCCACCGCAGAATTATATGATTGTATTGTATAAATTTGACCTGGGGCTCGACATTCAATTATGACTAACACTCGATGAATATTCGATCTTGAAGCTAGTTGTGTCCATACTATGACACATAAGAGGCAAATGGGATGGAAATGGGGAACGAGTTCTAAAAGGGGGGTGATGATGATAACAGGTAGGTAGGCACTCTGCACGCCCAGGCCAAGAGCAGTCTCGGCGGACACCTAAGAAAGAAATACATTGATTTACGTCGGTCCAGAGCCTGACACAATCCAGAAACAATAGACGTTTATCACAGAGTGAAAGGGGACGTAGTAAGGAAGGATTCATGGGGAGGATTGAAGGATCGATTTACTGGAAAGCAACTGCCAGATAGCGTAGAGTGGCTTGAATCTAGGTCTCAATGAGTGTAACAATCGTACGGACGCTGCGGCAACGAATGTAGGCGGGAAATTATTTCAGTTGCTTTATATAAAAGGGGCCAATCTAACTTGGGTCAGCTTGGTCAACAGAAGTTGATGTCGAAGCTGAGCCACAAGGCAGTTTTAAGAGGTACCTGATCTTTAGCAAAAATAGGTTCGCCATAGCCCACCATGGTCAATGGCGAATATAATCTTTTAATTCACTACTTGGCCACATTTATAAGGTAGTCAAACAGCTTGATACAAATAATAACAGTGTTCTAACCTTACCTAACGTACCTGTTTTTAATCTCTACCTGCTTACCTAGCCTCTTAAGGACTCTAGGTATGATACCTAGGTAGGTACCTTAGGTACCTTAGGTAGTATTACCGTTGCTTCAATTTAACTATCAAAAGTATGATAGCTGCATGTACTATGTAAATGTGAATTGCTCAATTGAACTCTCTCTCTCTCTCTGCTTCTCTCTTTCTATTCTAATGTTGTTATTAGGCTCTTTAAAATCCATATCTCTTAAGAAGCACGTTTCACGAGCACGCGACCTTATTGGTAATTGGTAAAAAAAGGGTTTGGAGAGAAATCAACTATGCCCCACGGGAAAGTTTGGAGCTGTGATGAAAGACAGATGGGGCCTGGTCGAAAAGGGCCTAGCCGAAGCTCAGCTGGGAACATTATAAGTGACGCAAAGAACTCAAAACAACTTTGCTGCCGGATCGTGCTACATATCGTATTTGTACTGTGTACGACACGCTCTCTGACGAATTTCTTCGTGTATCTTGCATTTTACTATATATCGCCTTTTCTTCAATTGAATTGGATTGCGACTATTTCTATATTTTATACCCCATTTGCTTTTGCTTAGATCTCATTTACTTCCCTCTTGTACACAATCACCGACAATAACCTCCCCCAAATCTCTGGAGTCGATGCAAGCTCGTTGGCTTTTCAGCGAAGATGCGTTTCGGTAAGACTCTTCGCGAGTCCATATACCCACCATGGAGGGACCAGTATATCGATTACGCAAAACTGAAGACGATGTTGCGAGAGGATAGGAAAGAGGAGGAGGAGGATGTGCCATGGACAGAAGATGACGAGAATCGTTTCTGCGACGAGGTATTCAATGTGCAGTTAGAGAAGGTGGCCCAATTCCAAGAAAAGACCATCAGCGAACTGAAGGAGCGCGCCGAGGTGGCTTTCGAGACGCTGAAGGAGATAGCACCCTCCAATGACAAGCCCAAGAATGACGTGACGATCGCCCGATTAAAGGAGCTAAAAAGCGAGCTGGACGCCATCACCAATGAAGTTAAGGAGTTGAAAAAGTATAGTAGCGTCAACTACACTGGTTTCCTTAAGATTGCGAAAAAGCACGATCGTAAGCGAGGTGATCGCTACAAGGTCCGGCCTATGATGCGGGTTAGCCTGTCGAAGCGCGGCTTCAATTCGGAGCAGGCGTACACGCCTCTTCTCGCGAAGCTGTCTCTAATGTACTATGCCATCAACGAAAACCTAGACGAAGGTGAGCAAGGCCAGCCACTAGATATCGACCTAGAGAGTCAGCAGGAGGTACACAACGGCGAACGATATACTGCCCATAAATGTAAGTTATTTCAGGTCATCGGAACTTTCTGCACGGGCTAACGTGATTTTCACAGTCTGGATACATAAGGACAACCTTCTTGAGATGAAGACTGCTATCTTGCGGCACCTACCTGCTCTTGTTTACACTCAGCAAGCCGGCCAAGAGCCCGACGGCAACGAAGACCCTAAGATCACATCCCTCTACTTCGACAACTCCAAGTTTCAACTATACGCGAGGAAGGTGGACCGCCAGGTTGACGCTTCATCTCTGAAATTACGCTGGTACGGACAGTTAGGAGCAAATCCCGAGGTCATTCTTGAACAGAAAATAGTGCATGAAAATGGCATTAGCGAGGACAAGAAGTTCTATATCAAAACCAAGTATGTCAAACAATTCATCGACGGGCAGTACGGAATGGAGAAAACAGTCCAAAAGATGGAAAGACAGGGTCAGACTGCTGAAGCTATCCAATCGTTCGAGACTACTGTGGCAGAGATTCAGGATTTTATCATCAAATCTAAGCTGGAACCTGTTCTGCGGGCCAACTATACCCGCACGGCGTTCCAAAAGCCATCTGACGATCGTATCCGAATTTCGATCGATACTGATATCGCTTTTATCCGCGAGGACACCCTAGATCGTGATAGGCCGTGTCGAGATCCCCAGGAATGGCACCGACGAGACATCGACGAAAATAATATGAGGTACCCCTTTGAAAATATGAACCAGAGCGAAGTATCGAGATTTCCTTATGCGCTCCTCGAGATAAAGCTGAAGGAGGAAGGAGGACGCAAGCGGCCGGGGTGGATAGAAGACCTGATGGTGTCCCACCTTGTCCACGCTGCGCCAAGGTTCTCCAAATTCGTGCACGGAGTTGCATCTCTCTTTGAGGATTATGTTAATCAATTACCGCTCTGGCTGAGCGACCTTGAGATAGATATTCGCAAGGATCCTCAGACGGCACACGATGAGGAGGAACAGCGGAAGGCACAACAGGCAGAAGATGCTATGGTCGTAGGTAGCTTTTTGGGCAGTGGCGCAGCTGCTAGAATTGGCTCTTATAAACCAGCAGCAACAAGTTCACCAGTCGGAAAGTCGTACCTCTCGGAGCGAGCCGCTAGAGAAGCCAGGGCATCTGCACCACCAGCTCCTGTAAATAGCCACGGCGAACAAGACGATGCGGACGGCACAGGAAATGGTTCTTCCCAGAAAAGAAGTTACGGGACGCTTTCTTCCGTCTTCCCTGGCTTCTCGCTCTCGCGGTATTCCCGGGCAAAGCGCCAGCGAGCACAGCTTCCCGAAGGTGTTACAAAACCAGAAGCGTGGCTCAAGAACGCGGGACCGCTTCAGGTTGAGCCCAAGGTATGGCTTGCCAACGAGCGAACATTCCTTAAGTGGCAGCACATTTGCATTCTTCTTGGCACCTTGGCAATTAGCTTATATACGGCAGCGGGGGAAAACTTTCTCGCCGAATGTATGGGCATCGCGTATATCGTGATTGCCATCTTAGCTGGAGGATGGGGATATATTATGTTGCACAAGCGCCGCGACATGATCGTGGAACGCAGTGGTAAGGACTTCGACAACATGATTGGTCCGTTGGTGGTGAGCGTTGCCTTGATGCTTGCTTTGATACTCAATTTTGTATTCACGGTAAGTTGAGTTTTATGCTGGTTTACTGGTATTTTGAGTAAAGGCTAATATCTATTCTCTTACGTTTAGTATCAAGCCGCGTTTGCAAAACTGGGCAATCGGCTGCTGAACGAAACTGAAGCAACATTTATCGGGGAGCTTGTGTAAGAATTATGTTCCGTCTCTATTGCATGAGAGTTTGTTCGATTTGGATCTGTCAAAAGTTATTGTCTACCTACCTACCTACCTACCTAAGGTAGGTACCTAATATAGGTTGGATGAATGTGCTGAAAGTATGGGTTAGGTATCTACCTACATATGTAAGTAGGAAGGTATGTTAGATACCTGGATATTAAGAATTAACTATTAGAATAAGTGACTTGATTGAGATAGATAGTGGAAGAATGTAAGGAGAAAATAGTTGCACAAATGATAATCCGCCAACACGGAATTAGAGGTACCTGTATGGAACAAAAGGAGTGTCGTACATAAGTCGGGTGATAGTGGGGTTATGTACCTAAGTAATTAGTTTATGTAAGAAGCTATCTTAATAACTTACCTTAAGCCTAACTAGTAGGTAAGTAGCTAAGCTAAGGTAACAATATCCACGCAGCTGCCACGCCAAATCGCTGACTTCTTCGTCCTGAATGGCTACTTCCTAACATAAAAGTCTTATCCAGCCCAAGTCCATGAGGGTGGACTTTCTGCTGCTGGATTGTGCATGACACGCACCTCACCTGCAGCTTCCTGTTTTCCCGCGTCCATTGTGCATGTCTGCCGTGTAATGTAGTTTTTGGACTTGAACAATAAAAACGTCAATTACACATACATAAATACCTAACCTACCTCTTATACCTAATCTAATCTTTCTTCAAATCAGTCAAGTACCTTCATCTACATAGTAACAATCCTGCGATTTTTATCCTAAGAAATCATACGCGAGTTCCCATCTTTTCCCGAATCCCGAGCTTACCTTTCTATCTCAATTACCTCGTTTGCCTCAGCCTTCTTGCATTAATACATGTACCTTAGCTGTGCCCAGCCACAAAAACTGACGCGTACCTACATGGTGCAACATCGGCAACGACCAAGAAATATATCGGGATAATTCGCATCTCCTCACCTACATAGTAGGCATTTAGCTTTATGCCTGCAAAAGATCTACCACGAACTAGCCATGTCCGAACCGAAGAAGAAAGGGCTCCTGAGTGGTCTGATGCGCAGGATTAGTAACGCTCAAGGGAGCGGGAAGCTGGTATGTATCCGCCCCGCGGGAAATTGAAACCGTACTTATAGATCACGAGGTGAAGGATTCGCCATCAAGACGGGCGAGCGATAGCGATGCACTTGTACGTAGACGTCGTTCTGATACGTCCGATATCGTCAATTCTCGTAGGCGGCCGCGCCGCCCAGATCCACGTGATGCAAAAGGGAAAGGTAGGGAGCAGCCAAACGGCCGCAAGTACGAGCCGGCACCCTTGTCAGAATGGCCGCCGTCTGGTATCGCTAGCGAGGAAGAGCTCACTCTGGGCCACGCGATGGAACTCATCTCGAGAGGCGTTCCGGCACACAAGGGACATAAGCGGCCTATCCCACATGCATCAGATCATTATTACGGATTATACACGACTACAGCAGGCAACCACGGTGATGATAACGATACTGTTAACCAGCATGATGCCATGACTCAACTTACATCCCTGACTATCCAGGGTTCGGGTCAACCTAGATACCCCTGGGAAACTCTTGAACAGCCGAGCCTTGCCTTTGGATTTGGAGGGCGGCCGGGCACTATCACTTTAAATCACTGGGCGAATATATTCAGCGCAATCCCACCACCCATTGCGCTTCGCGATCCAGGGGTTGTGCCGAGAGAAGTCGACTTGGTCTCCATATTCGACCGACTACAGGATCTGGAAGCTGGCCTAGAAGATGATAATGACGAGCTCCTATATCGTTTATATAAGCGCTTCTTGAAAGATCCAGACAAACTCTTCAGCCCGCATAAGACAATGGAGAAGCAGATTACAGATTTGGTCATGTGCTTGTCAAGCCCGGATTGGATTGACTTTTCCATTCCGAAGAATCAGGTCGTCACGAAATTTATATATGACACGAGCCCTGCAAACCACAAACAATATTATAAATTCTTCTACCAGCTACTCCTGAGCCTCGAATTGGAACTACGAATTAATTCGAAAAAGCATACGGACTGGGCCAAGGAAAGACTCGTGGAGCAAATACCGCCAAGGATTCAGTGGAATCTGGCCCTTGCCAGGCGATGGAGAGATTTCGTGCGGATCGAAGATTACGGCGAGGAGCCAGAACAGATCAAACTACGGTTTAAGATGAGGAGGAGACAGGTCAGCATGCTGAAAAGATTTGCTCAGATGATGAAGTGGCCGAACCTCACTCAGACGATAGCTGAGCTCAAGCAAAGAGATACCGAGGGAACGCTAATGATTGTTAGTTCGCACGCAATGGCTTTCTTCAGCGGCCTAGTCTTACCAGGGGTATGGACTACTATTCACTCTCCTTAACCAGAACGTCGTTGAATTCGCTAATTATTACATAGCCTACATTTCCTTTCTTGATCATGAACTCTTTAATCGATATTGATCCTGATAAGGCAACTGACAATCTCGCCTTGCTCACGCATCTTCATCCCCATTGCGGTTTCCAGTACCGCAAAAGCTATACTTACTGGAGATCAGCTTGTATCGTCGGTAAGGTCCTTGCACCGACATGCCACGAGGTTGCTGGCTGGGTTGGTCCGGCCAGACCGACAGTAGACCTTGGTCACTCTCAGATAGCCCGGATCCGTTCAAGAAAGCCACGTCAGAATGTCCTAACGCCAGAGGACGTGACTTCTATGAGTGATAGATCGGATCCCTTAGGACCACGATCTGAGATCTACCCTGTCGCGGACTACGACTTGCTAATACCGGATACGGATGACATAGTAGATACCGTCCGACTCGAGCTTGTTAATCTCAAGGAAGTTGCCGATAAGCAGGATTCGGGCCCGCAATGGTTCGAGGCATCGTTGCAGTTTGCCATCGACGGCGTGTCGTGGCCACTTCACCTTACGTTTGATGTCTCGTTCATCAATGCTTGGCCGTGCTCTGACGGGCCTCACCCTCTATTCTTCGACTATGTCTTCACTATACGCAAGGTTGACGAAATCGTAAATATCCTAGACTGGGGTAAACCAAATAGTAGGGAAAGGAGTGTTCGTCCGACAGTAGCTGGCGGGAGCAAGTCACCCGAATTCGAACCCATCCACGGAGGAGACGATGCAGAGAGAGTCCTAGTGATCGAGGCGTTCGGCAACCGGGACAATGAAGTCTTGGCACGGGCGTGGTGCTCTCATTGGGGACTCAGCGCAGTAGTAGCGGATGTTGGCAGGACTTGGTGAGTTATTTTCGTCGCACGACGATGGCAGATAATTGATTCGTTGACGGCTAATGCGACACAGCATGGCGTGCGCTATCCGCGAAGCTTACGCAGCAACCTTGACGGTTGTAATTCTTGTTGAGGATCAACCGGGGGATGCAGAATAGCGAGGTGACGGTCGGAAGCCTCACTGCGAATGCTTGGGATCGTCACGACCACCGGGCAAATGGTGACGGTGCAGGGACAAGACATACAGGTACACATGCCAATATCTCTACGAACACATCGACGCAGTTAACGACATTCACGATGTTTACGCGATTATACAGGTGTTCTAGGCATTAAGAAGACTTGTATAGGATAGCTGAAATTTTGGTTTTTTTTTTCTTTTTGTTTTATAGCTCGGAATAGGGAGCTTCGCCTAGATATACCCAATCAGTCAGTTTCGTTCCGTATTCCGGTATTAATTGTATTACTATTCTTGCACACGAGGCAACGTTGAGCCCCTGCTCTAGAAGCGCGGCTTTTTAAATAGGATTGCCTACGTTGGCTGATCGGCATCTTTTGCAAAAGGGTGCTCGACGAACTAGAACACTCTAACTACAGTTAAGTGACAGGGAGTGGCTGTTTGCCACACCACAGATCATCGTGGCCGTTCCTCCTAATACCGGACTTACTGCGATCGCCCGGAGCCAAGTTGGCGGTGGAGGTACGTGTCTGGCGTGTGTATGCTGGTTATGTATGTTTGTATGTACATCACATCCTGACACCCAAGCATTCAGCAACCTGGTCGTACAGTTTTAATGTGGGCATTTCGCTTAGTGCAAATTCTCTGAAAATGTCAGACATATCTTCCTGTACGCAAGAAGTCTCCAATAAATACTCTGTAAAATTTTTTTTTTCTGGCGCTCCCACGTTGTTGTCGGCTCACCCGAAATTTTTGTGGAGTGGTTTGTCACCCAACAAAAGTCACGATGTATATCAGAGGCCGAAGTTTGGAGGTTAGACAATTCGAGGTGGTCCAGGGAGGTACAAGTAGGTACTTAGCAGCTTAGTAGCGAGCAGCGCGGAGGGGAAGATGGTTTAAAATAAGGAAAAGATTGGCGGGTTCTGTCCCCACAATCCCCCACCTTGTGACGACAATACGGTACTGCGGTGTACCATGCCTGCATACAAAAGGGTAGGATTCGCACCGGCTTCGCTCAAAGTCCAGGCTAACCCAGGCCGCTCTAAAAAGTTCCGACAGATTCTTGGAGAAATGCATTAGTGAAATGGGGGGTTATAGCAAGGGGCTGGCAAGGTTAGGTGACTGGAAGGAGAGGGGGAGGGGTAGCTTTAGCTTCTTAGACAGGGTAGTACCTAAAGGCTAGCAACCTAGGTAAGGTACATACCTGTTAGGTAGTTCTAGGTAGACAGTTCATAAGGCTCGAGGTGTACCCTTTTTATACTCATATGGTAATATGTATATCTTAGGTGTTTTTTCTTCTTCTACTTTTCGGGTTCCCATCGGGTTTGTTTCTTATCCTCGTCTTGCGCGAATTGTTTCACTGCCGGAATTCTTTTTTTCTTCTTTTTCTTTCGAGCTGACACACGTACAAAACGTACACACACATAAGATTCGAGATTGTTGGACGACGATTGGAAATAACTTGTAGCTCAGCATTTGTGTCCTACCCGATTAGCACACAACGGTTGTGTGGATTAAAGTTTCCTCTTGTGATTAATAACTTTATTCGAATATTGGCTCGTTTTTACTTTGTACGCCCGAAGGTAGTTGCAGAGTGGCTGACTTGAAGCCGTACTTTCCCCCCACGATGGAGTTAGTCATGTCCCATGTCCCATGTCTCGTTTTTTCACTTTTCATCCTCGATCACTTTTTTTTCTTTTCTTTTTCTTTTTCTTTTTCTTTTTAACCGTTTCGGTGTTTATCGTCTGTCTGTATGACCCGGAAGTCAAAGCTAGGTTCTGACAAAGAGTTCTCGTCTAGTACCCGGAATATAATTCACTTCGAGGACAACGTGCGTTCCCTATAAGAGTTTCCTATGGCAATTCCTATAACAGTCCTCTCTTCCCCAGATGCAGCTTCGTGAACCATCTCAATTGACACAGGCACCATGCAGGATCACTACATTGGTATCGACGTTGGCACTGGCTCTGCCCGTGCTTGTCTAATTGACTCTTCTGGAGACATCAAAGCTCTAGCTTCCGAGGCCATTAAGCTATGGCAACCCCAGCAAGGTTACTATGTACGTTCTTTCATGAACTTCCCCTTCCTTTTTTTTTCTTTTTTTTTTCTTTGTCTCAACCGGTGCGACATGAAAGCCTAACGGAAGCTTAAAAGGAACAATCAACCACCGATATCTGGCATTGTATTTGCCATTGTGTGCAACGCGTCGTCCATCAATCCGGAGTTGATATCGGCCATATCAAGGGCCTAGGTTTCGATGCCACCTGCTCCCTCGCAGTTTTCTCCGAAAAAGATGACCAACCTGTCCCGGTTACCGGCCCGGACTTCGAGAATGATGGAAATGACCGCAATGTTATCTTATGGCTGGACCACCGTCCTGTCCAAGAGACGGACAAGATCAACGCTACAGGCCACAACCTATTACGATATGTAGGCGGCAAGATGAGCATTGAGATGGAAATTCCTAAGGTGTTGTGGTTAAAAAATAATATGCCCAAGGAACTATTCGACCGCTGCAAGTTCTACGACTTGACAGATGCGCTGACACACCTAGCTACGGGCAACGAGAATCGAAGCTTCTGTAGCACGGTCTGCAAGCAGGGCTATGTCCCTATCGGTGTAGATGGAAGTGAGAAGGGCTGGCAAGAAGATTTCTTCGAGGAAATTGGGCTGGGTGATCTGGCCAAAGACAATTTTAGGCGCATGGGAGGTGTTAATGGAATTGTAAGCTCCTCTTCCCTTCTTCCAGTTCATTCTCTCATATATTGGGCCAATCCACTAATTTGTCTTTAAGAATGGAAAATACTTCAGCGCGGGAGAACTCGTCGGTCACTTGTCTGACCATGCTAGCAAGCAACTCGGGCTGCAAGCAGGTATTGCTGTCGGCAGTGGTGTAATTGATGCCTATGCCGGCTGGGTCGGTACGGTTGGAGCTAAGGTTGATACCGAGTATGGCCATGCGGATGAGAGCGCCCCGGCAAACGACCTTGCCCAAGCTTCCACCAGACTTGCTGCCGTAGCTGGCACATCTACCTGCCACCTTGCCATGTCCGAGAAACCTGTATTCGTCAACGGAGTATGGGGCCCTTACCGCGACGTACTTCTGCCTAACTACTGGTTAGCAGAGGGCGGCCAATCGGCAACGGGTGAACTACTAAGACACATCCTGGAAACACACCCGGCACACAAAGAAGTCTTACCTCTTGCGGAAGCTATGCACATGAATATCTACGATTACATGAACGGGCATCTGAGGGAGTTAGCCGAGAAAGCTAAAGCTCCCACTGTCTCTTACCTCGGACGTCACTTCTTCTTCTACGGCGACCTGTGGGGTAACCGGTCGCCCATCGCAGACCCTCAAATGAAAGGATCGGTGATCGGTCTGAGTTCCGACTCGAGCGTCGATGGTCTTGCCTTGTATTACTACGCCACAATGGAGTTCATTGCTCTGCAAACGCGACAAATAATCGAGGCCATGAACAAGGCGGGTCACAACATTCAGACTATCTTCATGTCCGGCAGTCAATGTCAGAACGATATGCTTATGGATCTTATCGCCACTGTCTGCGACATGCCGGTGTTAATTCCCCGGTATGTCCACGCTGCTGTCGTACACGGAGCAGCCATGCTTGGTGCAAAGGCAGCAAGCGCAGATGACCAAGGTAAAACCGAGAATCTCTGGAGCATCATGGACCGAATGAGCAAGCCGGGCCGACTCGTCAAGCCCGGGACCAACGCAAGCGAGAAGAAACTCTTCGACGCCAAGTATGAGGTATTCCTAGAACAATGCCGAACCCAACGGGAATACCGTTCTAAAGTTGACCAAGCTATCAGTGCTTGGGGACTTGAGAATGGGAATTAGATGAAAAAAGAAGGGATGGCCTCTGGCAATGGTATCTGGAATCAGATGTTAATGAAATGGAAGCTCTATGGGACTTATCGGCAGGCGCATGTGGTAAAGGATAGGGGTACCTGTAGAGAGACTGATGTCTATAAGGGATATAATCGGTGATTTAGACTAGGTGCGATGCATAGGTTAGGTACATTTGGTAAACAGATATATTTTTAGTCTGGTGTGAATCGATAGGCTTAAGGGTGGTAAAAACAAGCATGCCGTATATTTCTCTCATAACAATGCCCGGGGTCTGATAAGGGATCTTTGGGTTTTCTGTCTAGCATTCACGCAGTCCTCAAGGATCGTAGAGATACCAATGATTATTCTTATTTGCAACTACATAACTACCTAACCTAACCTACCTAGGTACCTAGTAGATAACATCTTCAATATAACTTGTATTAAAATAGTGGTCGATATAGAAGGATTCTCCCTTCCTAGGTTCATTCGTTGCAGAACTAGAGAATGTCTTAAATTATTTACCAACCTTCCTAGGCCATCACAACTTTTTGTCGGCACTGCATTTCAATCAATTACTATCAGCTAACATAGTTTAGCCTTAGTAGGCTTTCGTAACACGATAAAAATTTTAGTCTTGCAACGAGTGTTATGAAATGGTTGAACTCATAAGGCTCATTCTTGGCGTGGAACGAGTGCAGTGGTCTTGCGGCTGGAATGTTTACGGATACCCTCCCAGAGGGTTGGACATGCTGCTTGGATTTGGCAGAGTCGCATTACTGGGTTAGAGAAGCATAGTTGAGATGGGCTGCAGAGGACTATCAATTGAAACAAACGGATCCAAGCTTAGGTAGCTATGAACGCTTGCTCATATCGGGGTAAGGTATAGAAATTGTCTAAGACATAATAATGTATACGGATTCGATGGTAGATCGACAATCTACTTACAAGTCACCGTTTTCATAAGAAAAAGAAGAGAAAAAGAGAAGAAAAAGAAACCCCACGGAGAGAGGCATTGAGGAGCAACTGTATTCACATAGTTTTGGTTATACCGTAATATCCAATAATTTGAACAAGTTGTTAAATCTACAACAGGTATCTAGCAATCTAGCCCACTTCTCATGAGCGGAACTGAAGTATCTATGAGCGCCATTCTCCCTCCCCCGGGCCAGGTAGCAAGAACGAAAATCCCCCTTGACCCAATCGAGGTGATATACATATACCTTATATATACAAGATCCATACCCATATACATGAAGGAGTAAACCAGACTCTAAATGTCTACGAAATTTATCGTAGGGATTCCCGAAACTAGCATTCCTAGTACCTGACTTCTATATCTAATGACGGGGGTGGAAAAGGGGCAAAAGGTGATACAAAATTTTAAGACAGCCACTCTCTCTGGTGTGCTCGTCGGGTCTTCTGTTCTGCAGCATTCTGGCTTGCGGCGGGCTGGGACTTGACGTCCTTGGAAAGGCCGTCGAGGAAGTTGGGGTTGGCCCAGACCTGAGACATGTCCCAAACCATGACGCCGCCGAAGCTTTCGAACTTCTTGCTGTAGGCGATGATGGGCTTCAGGGCATCGGGAGCCTTGTAAGATGCCTTCTGGGAGGGGCCCACGGCCGTGGGACCACCAGGGACGCCGAGGAAGACTTTCGCTTTCGGGTTCTTGCTCGAGCGCGCCCACTCGTCCCACTGCGCCATGTTAAAACCGGCTTTCGTCGGGTCGGTGGAGCCATCAAAGACCCGGATGTCGCATGTGGGATTGTTGTAGAACTGAACCATGACAAAGTCGAAGGCTACGGCATCGTTACCCTGTAGCATGTCCTTGTTGTTCTGGTCTGGGAACGGGCACTGCGGTGCGGCAGAAAGATAGAACTTTTGACCGCCGCTGCCGTTAGCCTGGTCCATGTGTTCTCGTAGGCGCGCGGCGAAGGGAGCCATGTTTGGGAGTGGAGCCTCGATGTCGAGGTCAAATCCGTCGACAACCGCATCGCCGAATGGACGTTGCTCGCTGCTGTTGTTACCAGTGGGGCCGAACATGTTCCAGATCTGGTCGGCTAGGGAACGAGCATTCTCCGTGCTTGAAGGCCCGGAGTTGAACGTGGCGCCACCGAGGGATACTAAGATGGTCTTGCCTGCACTCTGACACGACTTAATCTCTTCGGCTATATTTTTATCGTCGGCCATATTTGACAAGTCTACCTTGATAGGATTGAAGCTGGACACAAAAGCGATAGGGATGATGTCGACTTCGGCGCTGGAGCAGTACTCAGACAGCGATTTCTGGGCCTTGCCGGTACCGGTGACACCGGCTGAGTTCTGCCCCCAGTATATGGCGATGTTGTCAGATGTATCGGGGTTGTAGCCAGCGAAGGCGGTGGAAGCCCATAGAAGGCAGGTGGTTAAGGCTGAATGCCGCAGCATTTTGGCCGCCATGTTGCGAGAATCGAGAAACGTAAGAGATTTATATAATATACTTGGTCTTGAAAAAGATGGGAAAAGACAGTAAACCGCTGTCTAAGATGAAATCTCTGATGTGACGAGAAAGATGGCAAAGCGAGCGAGGTGTGCTTCTTCAATAGAGGAGCTATAGAGAAGTAGAGAGAGGCTCTGTTAATGAATGCTGTGGATTGATGGGGAAAAGAAAGTCGAACAACGGAGAGGATTTCAAGCAGCTTTTATACATCGTGTTCAGGAGGCATTGAGGCCAGACGAGAAAAGAAGTCTAGACTTCTGCTGAAGAGTATGTGCTTGATGGTGGCATCAGAGGTGGCATCAGAGGTCGGGGCGTCCGTCAAAGACACTAGAAGCATTCCAAACGGCGGCAAACTGTCTCCTGCTTGACAAACCGCTGACCCGGCCGTGCCATGTCGAAATATTCAAGTCTTCCGTCGTGAAATGAATAAGGTCTCACCTTTCCAAGGGCACACGTGGTACATCTAATTCGTTTTCACCGTGATTATGGCGCCAACATTGGTCGTAGGCAAAGTAGCCACCAGAGAAAAGTACCCATTTTTTGCCATTTTTTTGCCATCTTGCCCATTTTCGTATGACTTCGTCTTAGCGCAACCCGGGATCAGGTACGAGAATGCTATGTTTAACTTAGCCGGATAGTCAAGACGGGTGCAAGTAGCCCTCCCCCATCTCCCTACCCACAGGCTAACCCAAGTGTCATCTCACCAGCCGTGGCGTACGCTTACTTTCGGCATCGTCTTAAGGTAACTGCGCCAAAGCAATAACCTTAGAAAAAAATCCGAGTTCTCCGTGGCGTGTGGCTTGCAAAATATGTCAGGCTTTCGTTACGATTCAACCGCACGTGGAACCCAAGACACTAGCAAAGATGGTCCAAGGTACGGCTCCGATAAATCTCCCATTTTAACGACTGGACCGTGCTGACAGCCTCAAACTCCATGTGACAAGCCAGCTTCATTCGGGCTGCACCGCCCATGCGAATGGAATGAATCTCATGCGAATGTCAGATTTAGCCACACGACCCCGTTTTCGATTTGAAGAAATTTAAAGAAAAGTACCTAGTAATATGCATGGTATGCATGACTCGCTTTCTATGAACGGGCCGTACGTCCGGGTAGGATGTAGAAATGGGCAAATACCATATATGTACTGGACCCAAAAGATAGTTGTTTATCAACAAAGTCAACTATTCTGAGTAAGAAGCTCAGCTAATAAAACCAAACTACTATATGTAAACTAGTTAACTACCTGTTAAACTAAACTAAACTAACCTAGCCCAAGGTTCAGGGTCACCTGATCCTTCCCCACAGATATTAGGTACCGCGTATACATACATAGTACCATACCTCTAGTGGCCATGGGATGAATCAGTTCGTTATCACGGACCCCGCAGTATCGCGGACCCCGCAAGTCAGATTTTCGGAGATTCGACTCCGAGTCTTGTCCGGTCGTGGGTCTAAAACGGAAATTACCCGGACGGAAGAAAGACTTCAGAATACGCGCCGATAATTCACCACCACCGTCTTCTTTGCCACTCTGCATATTCGTCTCTCGTGGCGTCCTTTTGCTCTAGATTACGATTGTCAATTCAATAGAATCAGGTTAGGTACTTAAGCAACATAATATTTATCATCTGCCGCTCAGATTAACTTCTACCAGGCCATACTCTTTCAAATATAAGATGAATAATGGCGGTGTATATAGAAAAAATGTGTTGCTCTGCCGCTGCCGCCCCAAATTTCGTCTCTTCTCTCCCGAACAATAACCTATTAATTACATGGTTTACAAGATGCTATAGTAATATACCTTATATACGTATATATATACCCCTTACGTTTACCTTCTTTGAACACCAATGATACCTCCCCATACATGATATAATGTATCCCATTAAGGCTAGGTATTGAAACGCCGGTACGATGCTTAAGAAAATAGGTTTAGCGCGATCCAGTCTCTCTTTAGTCTTCTTTGCAGTGTCGTAAAGAGCATGCCGGGTCTTAGCTCGAGAAGGATCCCTAAGGCAGAACACTTTGTCTCCATCGCTCCACTCTATCCATTTGGCCCGGTGGCTGTATTTGCATCCCGTAAGGTGCGCTCACCTGGGCGCCGGGCCCGTGTGACACGCCATAGGCGGGCACTGGGCCTCCCGTAAGGTAGGGATTGCCTATGACGACGCCGCTACTTGGTCTCGTGTTTTGATTAGGATATCGACCCAAAGCTGTGCTGGTTCGTGCGTAACCAGTTCCACCGCCTGTGCCATCATTGAACCGACCGGACATATAGCCCCCAGGCTGATTCAAGTTTGGCGTGCTGAGACTGGAAGGTATCTGACCACGGAGTATAGCCAACTTACGTTCCTGATCTTGCCTATACCGGGCAGCTTCCTCTTGCTTTTCCTTTTCGGCCTCTGCCCTAGGATTGCGCAGAAGGGTTCTCGATCCGCGCGGGCCAAGCACATCAGCGAGCGAATGTCGGTTCTTAAGGTTCCCTATATCGCTGGCCCCACCACCGGGCTGATTGCCTGCTGTCTCTTGTTCTGCCCGCAGGCGACGGCGACGCTGTCCTAGCGTTTCTTCTTCTTCTTTAATGTGTGATTTTCTTTTGTCCTGACTCTTGCCGTCGCTTTCCTCCTCTTTGAACGCCTCACCTAGTTGGCTTAAAAGTTCTGCCGAAAATGCAGAGCTGACAGGTCTAGCTTGGGGAAGAGGATTATCCGTCTGCTCGCGGGATTTAAGTCGTCGCATACGCTGGCCGAGGGTCTCGCTCTCAACCTCCTCTTCCTCGGGGGTGTGCAAGCGGAGCTGTGGACTTGCGGCCCTTGGACCATTACTTCCACTGTGAAGACCTTGGCCAAGTGTCATCATGCTTTGCCGTTTCATGGGACCAACCTCTCTCCCTTGGAGCCGATCACGACGTCGGCTCAAGGGTTCGTTATCCTCCAATTCACGCCGTTGCATTAAGCCAAGGGGCCGATTTACCTCAGCGATTGCAGCCGTCATATCATTACCTTCTCCCTTCGCAGCCATAAGTAGTCCTAATGGTGTATCTTCGTCGTCCGAATTGGCAGCTGGGTTCGTGTTTGGTTCTTCCCAGGCAAGATTCACCTTCTTGCCTTTGCGTGCGTTGCTTTCAATCTGCGCAACTGTATCCATCTCAAGTAGCGTAGAGTGTAAGCCATTAGGGAAAGCAGTAGCGGCTGGCCGAGTGCGTAATTTCTGCTGCCTCTTTCGCATTTGGAGCTCGGCCAATAGAGTTGTCGGCGGTCCATTGTATACTAGCTCTCCATCACTTTCCCCATCCCCATCGCCATGACCTGTTACTTCTTGGCCATCAATGGAACTAGACAATCGTTGCCTTTCTTCGTCTCGTTCGCTCGCACCTAGACCCTCGTTCATTTTCGTGTCTCCAGCAATTGTATTTCGCCGCTCTTCTTCCGACTCAGAGTGTCGGCTAAGAGCACTCGGTTTTCGGAGGTGTAAGAAAGAACTCCGCTTCTTCGGCTCTAGCAAATCGACAGAACTAGCACGTTTCATCTGAGATTTGCTTTTCTTTTCTGTCCCGTATACTTCCGATCCCAGTGTTCCTGCGAACGCGTGATCTGTAAAAGCAGAAACAGGAGCCTTAGCAGAGGCATCCAGAATACTGTCTAAGGTGGCCATCGCAGAGCCATCTTTAAGCTCGATAGCCGGTGACGGCTGGGAAGGTAGGTCAAAAAAGGCGCTGGCACGTAGTTGTGGCGGTAAGCCGTCGAGATTGGGCATTTTTGACTTTCGTTTATCTGAGATAAGAACTGACGTGCGAGACACGCTTGCTTCATTACTCCCTTGCCCATGGCCGGGCTGAGGAAGGAATTCAGAGTCGCGTTGATTATCCGCCGTTGATCGAATTTGAGGGTCTGTATCCGGCCCAGAAAGCGGCACGGGGGTGAAAGATTCAGCGTTAGAGTCTATAGGTTCGAGCGGAGGTCCAGGCAAATACTCTGGTAGCCAGATTGTACTAGACTTGCGATCTGGTTCTGCCGTCTTACCCCGGACCTGCGATTTGCGGGCCTCCCGTGCTTCGGCTTTGGGCTTTTTTGAGAGTTTCTGTGGCAAGTTGAGCATCAGCGGGACACGCGCCGGATAATAGAGCATGGTCTGGCCCGTTTCGGGATTTAGATATGACTTTGGCCTGACAGTTGGTGGAGCAATTGGTCGAGATATAGTGGGTTTCGAGGTGCCCGGCTCCTCTTCTGGTTGTGATAGAGTCGGGTCGAAAGGTCGAAGGAAAGAGATGTCTGTTGATGGTCCACTGGAGAAGGAAGGCATAAATAGCGAGTCTTCTAAGTCAACATCAGGCGGGCAATGCGCTCCATCAAAATCCGCAAAAGCTCTCTCCGCCTGCTCATACGTGCCACTAGATCCGGCAGTCGGGGGCCTGATATCATCATGGCTACGTCCTCCTTGTGTCTCAGTAACACCATGACTCCAGTAGTCATGGCTACTCGATGCTCCGAACGGTTCCGCATTAGGTGTAAGGTCCATGTCTTCCATATGTGGTATCCGTAACACCTCATCTCCCAGCTCTTCAGCTAACTTGTCAGCTTCATCCATAACTGCCAGCGTAAGCGTGGTAGGTTCCATCTCAGCAATGTCTGTTAGGGTCGGCTTAGATGCCGATTTAACACTCCGCGTAGAATTCTTTCCAGGCCCATGTCTCGACATGATATTACTGCCCTCAGATTCAGGCCGCGATAAGGGACCCGAGCCAGATCGCATCCGTGCTGGATTCGAGGCTAGGGAAGGGTCGGAAGACATGGCAAAACCGGCAGGAGAGTAGCCACCGTAGCGCACCGAGTTATTGGTATCGAGTATGGAGTTGGGTGTTGAAAGAGTTTTAATAGCAAGGAAGGAAACTGTTTCGTTATTTTCAGGAATTGAGCCTATGCTCGGGGCTAGGATTGATGACCGCCGGCTTTCGTTGCGTTTTTGCTCTTCATGTAGATCCCGAATGGCATCCTCGATGGATGAAGTCATGGAAAGCTTTTCAGCTGTGGCCTCTAATTGGGCGATATTAGTTGCATAAGAAGTAGTCCGTGGATTTAGATCGGGAGTAGGGTGGCGTAAAGAAACGCTTTTTGTAGAGGCAGTGCGGACGATGGGTTTCGGTTGGACTAATATGGGTTGTGGTAATTCCTTATTTACCTGCGACTCTCTAGTCGAGGCATCGCTTTTCTCTGCCGCACTTGGACGAGCAGGTTCGGCATAGTTCGGGTCAGGGGTTTTCTTGGGAGGATTATTAGAATCTGGCTTTAAACCCGTATCGTCTGGGCGTGGGCTAGATGAAGGGGACGAGAAGGCAGTGTCAGGAGATAAAAGACCGTATTCGTTACGATTGTTACATGTGGCTCGTGCCGACGATAGCGATTGGACCATATCGTTGACGTCCATGCTGCCCCTGGTCCTAGTTGTGGCCGTGCCACCTAACCTTTTGTGGCTCTCTCTCCTTGGAGAATTGGAATTACTTCCAGCTACATCGCTGGCCTCGTTCCCAACGCCTGCCGCTACTCCCCTAACTCTCGAACAAATATCGCTGTCCATTGATAAAGGAGTAAAGGTTGATTCGACAGTTGGGAGGAAGGGCATGGGTGAAGACGAGCGCGCTGGCAAGAATGGCGCTGAGGGTGATATCCCGTCGTTTCGATCGTCGTCGTCATTGTCGTTTTGGGGAAGCTCGCCATACGTCACACCCATCTTTTCCTTTAAAATTTTGTTTTTGCTCTTCCTGCTCCCAAGCTATCCTAGTAGATGATAACGCTTAGGCGCGACTGTTATATTACAAAGGACGAACCATATAAGTTGGCACCAGGTAACGTTAATATGTCGTGAGGTTTCCTCAGGCAATACGAAATAAGTCAAGCGGAAAGCAGATAATATAGCATGAATTTAAATATAGAGGACTGGGAAAGCGTCGAGGGTAATACGGAAGGGGAAAAGGAGAGGAAGCGGTCAACTAACGCAGATCTGACGGGAGAGCGATGTTAGAGTTGCAAATAAAAGAAATCCAAGAAAGTAAGCGGGCAATAAATGAATAGAACAGGTGAAGTGCGATAAGCTAACCCCAGGCAGAATAATGCTCGGACAAGATATAAAGTATGAAACGATGATATTGGAATTAAGAACATTGAAAAAATAAAAAATAAAAAATAAGAAAACCTTCCAATCCAATCTAATCCTAGCCTGCTGATGCAGTCGATGGCTGTTTTTTTTTTTTTTTTTTTTTTTTTTTTTTTTTTTTTTTTTTAAAAAAAAAATTATATTTTAATTAAAAATTTGTTTAATAGCGTTTAAAAAAAAATTTAAAATTTTTTAATAAAAAAAAAATAAATTTTTTTATTTTAAGGCGACA